TTTATCTTTTTTTTTTCTCTAATTGAAATGTTGTTCTTGTTTCATATTTTCAGCTAATGATAATGCTTTTGGTATTTGGTGTTATGTAGATTAATTGATTGATAGCAAAATTGAAGAAGCAGAAGCAAGTTTTGGTTTTTTGTTGTCAATGGATAAAGCTTCTTCACAAGAGTGTCCTTATCCAGGATGTTTCTTCTGTGTAATGAAAGAAGGAAACCCGAGTAAAAGAAGATCCTGCATTCTCAAATTCTTTAGAGACCTTCCTTCTCAAGACGATGATGGTCAAGTTCTTCCCATTAGTGGTCTCTGGAACACAGCAATGGCTCACCCTAATGATCCTGAGTTCATTGAGCTTGGAATCTTTGAGTGTATGTCTGCTTTGATATGGAAAGGACTTAAAAACAGGCGTTGGCTATCTCATGACCAGAACATATACATTCCTTACTACGCGGCTCACATTATCGGGTCTTACACTATGAACATGGAAGAGTTTGCTGAGAGAGCTGTGGAAGCTGGTGTGATTGCTCCACTTGTTGAGCTTTTAAGAGGTAGGCTTACTTGGGTCGAACAGAGAGTGGCGGTTCGTGCTTTAGGGCATTTAGCTACTTACCCGAGCACTTTTCCTGCCGTTGCGGATCACGGAGAGATCCTCGAGCTTGCGATACAATTGGCAATGAGTTCGTTAGAAATAGTTTACTCTCACTTTTACCAGTATCCGGATCGAAGGTTGAGTTACCACTGCGATCTGCTGACACGAGGCATGGGAGGTGTTGAGATGGAGTCAAGAAAAGCAGAGGAATGGGCAAGCCAGTTGCAGTGCTGGTCTCTTCAGCTCATTAATTGTTTCGCCTTTAAACCTGAGTTTCTTCCCACTCTGTGCAAACCCGAGTTTCTGGTGAATCTTCCGGTTATGTGGGGCGGACTTGTGAATGAGAACTCACCAGCTGGTATCGGTTTGCTTAGAACAATCTGTCAGCATAAACTAGGCCGTGGACCTGTTTCTGCGTGTGCAGGAATGATTGAGGCCTTGTGTAATATCGCTCGGTCTTCTGATGATTGGCAGTATATGGCGATAGAATGTCTTCTTTGGTTGCTTCAAGATCCTAATACGTCTCACAAGGTAATTGATAAGGCGGTGCCAACGCTTGTGGATCTTGCAGAGATCACAAACTTGGGCGATCACAAGAAACTTGGAGATTCCATTGTAAGTGTTCTTCAAGAATGCAGCTCCATGGGTAACCGTTCAAGGGAGTTGATCGAAGAAACGGTAAATTCTCGACAAAGACTGAAATGGGAGAAGAGTATGCCTAAAGAGGATCTTCATATCAAACAAGCAGCAGCTTTAGTGGTCAAACTCGAAGGAAACTCTCTCTTTTCATCAGGAGATATCGCGGGTGCAGCGGAAAAGTACTCGGAAGCTTTGTCTCTATGTCCGATGAGGTCGAAGAAGGAAAGAGTAGTGTTGTATAGCAATCGAGCTCAGTGTCATCTCTTGCTGCAACAGCCTTTGGTTGCTATAAGCGACGCCACACGTGCGCTCTGCTTGCACAATCCTGTAAACCGGCATGCGAAGAGTCTTTGGAGAAGAGCTCAGGCCTATGATATGTTAGGTCTAGCTAAAGAGAGTTTGTTAGATGCGATTCTGTTCATCAACGAATGTTCTCAGTCGAATGATCCGGATCTCTCCATGAGACAGAACAAGGTTCCTGATTACGCAGAGAGGTTGGTGAAGAAGCAGATGCGAGCAGCTTGGTTGTTTAAAGAAGCAGCATTGAAGCATGGAGGTGTGCATAGGAAAGGCGAAGAGAGGGAAGTGTATGGAAATGAAACCGATGATTCGGAATGGGAAACAGCGAGTGAGAGCGATATAGGAGATGATGGAAGAGATCATATGGGACTTGATGATGAGGAGGAGGAGGAAGATGAAGGCCATGGAGAGAAGTGGAAGAACCGAGATAAATCGAGTGAGAAAAATGAGAAAACGTCTGCGAAAGGTGAGATTTTTACGGGCTTACTAGCATATGATTATGATCAACACATTTTTGTCTTGATTTCAATTTAGTTAATAGTTTTTTTGGTGCCAAAATCTATGAATTTGTTCAGGTATGAGGCATGGATACAGCATAAAGCTAGCAGAAGATGAAATATGAAACCCTGAAACACAATAAGAAGTTGAAGAAAACAGAAGTCTTTGTATGGGTTTTAGTCTTTTTACAAGCAAGAAACTTGCTTCATGGTTCATGGATATCGTAAGTTTTCTTTTACTTTTTTTTTTTTTTTTTTTGTTTTTCCCTTTCTTTATTTAGTTTTGTGTGATTGTAGTAGTTGTGGTAAATTTTATCCATTTTGAAGGAGTAAAGAAGAAAGGAACAATTGTTTTGTTTTTTTCTGTGATTTTATTTATTTTTATTTTGTGGTGTATGTAACTAAGAGTTATAGAGGAGACAATATGAGTTCCAATTTGTAAAAAAATTATTTTCTCCTTATATTAAGAAATGATGTTGTGATTGGGAGATTTTAGATTTTTTTTTTTGGGGGTTCAGTGATTGGCAGAGATTAAAAAGCATTTTAACTGTATAATTCGCACGTTAGCTAATAATAAAAAAAAATTGTACCAAGAAAGAGAATTTTAGTAAGCCTTAGCTATTGGATTACGATATTGTAAAGTAAACGATTTGAGAAATGGAGGATCTGCATTCAATCCACCGAGGATACTCATTCATAGTCGATATTGACACAGGAGTGAAATTTGATTGGAGGAAAGAGGATATGTACCAAGCCACTATTCACCTTTTACGTCATGCTCTTGAAATAATTTTGAGAGCAACATCAATGGTTGAATCCTTAAAAAGATTCTTAAACATTTTTTAATCATAAATAATGATAATTTTAAAGTTAAGAGTTTGTGATGAATCTTTAAAAATTTCTTTGTCCAATGGTAGAGTTCTTAAGTGAGTTTCTTAAAAAAAGAAAAGAAAAATTATAATGAAAATTATAAACATTTTTATTTGATAAAACTTAATAAATATTACAATTTCCTAAAAAATTTAAACATACAAGACATAAAAACATATAAAAAATACAAATAAAAAACCAAATTTTTACTATATACGCTTAACAAAATCAGTTTTTAATTGTTGATGCATAGTCTTATCATGAACTCGAATTCGAATGTCTATTATATTACTGAGATTTGAAGACATATTTTATTTTGTTTTTTATTAATATTTTTGACCCAATCAAAAAGCGACACCTATGCGCCTCTTAACAATCCTTAAACCTCTTAACAATCCTTATTTAGAGCAAACTCTTAACAATCCTTAACTTTATTTGTTGTTTTCATTTATTTTAATTATTTTTAATTTTAAAGATTTTTTTAAGAAACCCATAAAAAACACCATTGGGGTGCTAAGATGTCTTTTTGCAAATTGCAGTGATATTTTCGATATTGGTACACTAAGTTTAAAAATGTTGTCCTTTGGATAACTCCAACGGATGATATGAAACTTAAACAATGCTGTCCTTTCATAATATGAAAGAAAACGGTTAATTATGAGAAAACCACTTAAACTTATTAAGTATTGTGGAAACATTTTTCTCTTTTAAATTCAAGTATTTTTGAGATTTTGTGACAAAAATAATTTGGGTTCTGTAAGTTAGTATTAGGGTTTTGATCATGGGATTCGTGGCTAATTATATTTGTAGTTATATCTTTTTGAGTCAAATTCCATATTCCTTTTTCTATATGCAATCGAATGTATCTTGTATAAAATTGTTCTTATTTAATTTAAATCTGTTGACTCTATTTCAAAACAACTTTCGGCTATTGGATGAGTCCACGCGGAATGTAATATAATAATGATCAAGTCTTCAAAATGGCACACCTTATTTTCTTTTTGCAAATTATAAAATTCTCTATATGGAGATCCTATCCGTATCTATCTAATTATCTCCCAAAACTATGGGCAAGAGTCATTATTAAAATCGACCCTTGGTCTTTTGAGATGCTCAAAGGGTTTACTTTATAAAATAAAACCTTCACTAGCATGATTTGAATATTTTTTTAATTAAGCACAATGTGGAAATCTAGTGTAAACTTTCCACGAACATTCCCCATGGATTTATATAAATAGTGAGAATTTGTTTGTGCACATATACATAGAGGCATTGATTTCGCGTAAATTCTCTCTAATTGTTCTTATCACCTCGGTAAATAATATATATTCGAAATTTTCAAGCAAATGGGTATCGTTGAAAACATACGTTCTCTTAAACTTGAAGTGAAAATCGTGGAAGCTAGAAACGTAGAGGTCAAGTCATCACTAACCACTCTCTTCGTTAGGTTCTATCTCCATGCAGGAAATAACAGTAAGATCGAACTAAACACTGCCGAGATCCGTTCGAGATCAGACAAAGAGGTCGTGATCTGGAACCAATCATTCGGTCTGGAGTGCCAAGGGAACGAAACGGTGGTCGAGGAATTGAAGCAACAAAGCGTTGTTTTCGAACTACGGAGAAGAAACACGACGTCGTTTTTGAAGAAGTGGTCGAGATCAGAGTTGGTGGGTAGAGGAAATATTTCTTGGAAATCTATGATAGAGTCTGATGGAATGGAAATAGAGAGATTCGTAGTGATGGATGAGACAAAAGATCGGGTTTTGGAAGATTGTGATAAGCCTCTTTTGTTGAAGATAGCTTTAAAAGTGCAAGCTTCAAAACCGGTGAAATCTAAGAGTGTGGAAGATCTTTGTGAGTGTAGAGATTGCAGGAGATGTAATTGCTTAGATTATGAAGCTTTTGTTGTAGCTTGTGCGTTAGCTGGAATTTAGTTTGTAAGAGGAAAATTTAAAGAAGATATGATTCAAAGAAACCAGAATGAGTTGTTGCAATAAAATGAGAAAACTAAGGACCAAAGTTCAAAGAAAATGAAAAACAAATCACAAACTGTTTTATAAAAGACAAGGAAACGATGATGTTGTTTCAAGCATGGTCATGTCCAAGAAGGGCGAGAAGCATATTCTTGTAGTCACCAGAAGTGTCTTGAGCAATGGCTCGATCAAGAGGAACGCTGTTCCTGCGTAAGTATTCCTCTTTGATTCGCTCCATGTCGACCTCTGCTCGCGTAGTGACTACTCTAGTAAGTGCCCACTCGTCTGTTCCCATCTTGTTGATGGCTCGACGTAGAACCTTCTCAAAGTACTTCTCTGGATATGTCAAGCATTTGATCGCGGTTTTGAGTAATTGAACATAATCATCGTTGGAATCTTCCTTCAGAAACTTGTTAATGGAACTTCCAAACTTATCCTTGAAGTGATTGAGTGTTGCATTGATCTGAGCTTTGCTCCTTGTTGTCAAGATTCTGATGAGATCTTCATCAGTGTAAGCCTTCTCAGTGATCTTCTTGTGAAGTATCTTAGCTTCAGATCTAGCCAGCTTCACGTTGACCTCATCAGCGTTTCCATCGTACCTGAAGGTGCTCACAAGAGGAACCAATAGCTGCATTTTCACAAGAGGTCAAAACAAAACAACAAACATATGATTAGAATTACTTACTGATCGCTTTAAAAGACGGATATACATGAAACTTTCACTACCTTTCGAACATCTCCAGATGTGTGGTATGCGACATCCTCCTCGAGAGAGGTCTTGTAGCGAGCATGGTATGCTTGCTTGGCCTTGAAAAACTCAAGAGAAGGTCTAGTACAAGCGATTTCAACTAGAACCCAAATGTTTTTGGTGAACATTTTGGTAGATTCATTGGCCAAATACGCATCCCTCTCCGTTGGATCAAGAGTCCACAACATCACAGCTCTCTGTTAATCAAGCAAAGTAACAAACCATAGCATACTCAGACAAAAAGAAGATGAAGATATAAATATTTTGTTTCCTTTTGACAAACCTCAAAGTCACCGGAAAACTCTCTGTCTAATTCCTTGAGAAGATCCTTATTGTAGTTAGCAGCATAAACAGCGCGGATGAAGCTGCGCTGCGCTGCGTTTCTGTGAGCCAAGATTGATATGATCATCCCTTCATTAGTTCCCCATCCTGCGCCACACAAAAACAAATTTCAAACCGAAGTTTAGTCAGCAATGTAACCAAACTGGTCAATTAAACTAAACCAAATTTTCGGACAATTGGAAAAAATATAAATTCACAAGAAAACAAATGTTCGCTAGTAGAACAAATAAATTAGGTTTGGAAAATCTGAACAAAATATTCCTAGGAAAACAACAAGTTGATCTGTTTTGTAGAGATGTCTAATCTTCTTCGGTTACAAACCAAACGGTCAGAAAACGCTCCAAAAAAAAAAAATCAGTAAGATACTTTAAAGTAATGTCACAATATTGCATCGTAACAAAAGATCATGCAATGGAGCTGTATAATCACAAAGTCGTGATTTTGCATCAAAATCACAAATTTAAGACTTCATAAGATTTCAATCATATGATTTTTCAAGCTTACTTATCAATCATCTATTTCTTAAAAAACCTATATACATATCATCAACCAAACCAGTTAGCTAGATCAGTAGATCAGGCCGGTCAATAATAGATTGAACTATTGATAATCAGCCCAATTAGTAATAAGTATTAAAAAGCAAATGATTCAATCGAAGCATGAATATATGTGATTATGTGAAGGCCTAGTTTTTAACGTCGTTAAATCAATCGAATAATGAAGGGAGGAGATGAAAACCTTTAAAGGCCTTGTAGAGCTGCTCGGAGTCTTCTTCGGGAAGAGGAATAGTTGCAGGAATTTTGAGAGACGCCATTCTTCCACCACTGAATATCTCTCTGGTTTTTGTTTTCTCTCGCTCTCTAGATGAGACTAAAACTGTGGGACGAGGAAAATGCATGCACATTGTCTTAAATAATGAAATGATATCCCATTTTTTTTTTTTTATTAATCATTTTTGTTAAAAAAATAGACTTAGCAATCTAAGTAAATCAGTAAAAGGGAAAATTTTACAGTGGACAGAATTGAAAAAACAAGTACCATGTTTTGCATTTTTTTGTCATAAAGCTGAATATTAAATGGAAATTGCACATTTTCTCAAATAATGAAATGAAATCCCAATTTTTATTAATTATTCATAATTTTTGTTTTAAATAAGACTTAGCAATTTAATTAAATTAGTAAAAGGGGGAAATTTTATTGAGACAGGCTGTATACAGTGGATAGAAATGAAAAACATGTTTTACATTTTTTGTCAGGTACCGAAATTAGAACTTTTTAAAAAAAATTCTTTTTTTTTTTTTTTGATAACCGAGTGTCCTAGCCCCACCGAGATGGTCCAGACTAAAGATCGAACCCTTACGGCGCATATTTAAATTCTTTTTTGTTTTCTGCTATATAATACACGCATATTCCCTTATTTTGAACATGGATTATAACACAATGGCGGACAAAACATTACAATACAAGCCAATATTGTTCATTTTAACAAGATGTATTATGTATGCTTTTAGCTGTTTATAACCATATAATTAAAGGGAAAATGATAACTTACTAGTTTATACTAAATTAATTATAAATAGATAAAATAATAATTTTTGATATAGTTTAGCTTTATTGAGTAAACAAAATTTTAAAATCTCACTTGTTGAGTATTTGTAACAGAAAACATAAATGACAAAATAAACTGAAGACACTAATTCAACATGACCAAGTTGCAAGACCAATCACAACTGTTTTATTAAACACAAAGCCATAAAATTAGTTTTTTAAAAAACTTGCAAATGTTGTTTCAAGCATGGTCATGTCCGAGAAGAGCGAGAAGTATATCCTCATAGTCACCATGAGTGTCTTTAGCAATGGCTCGATCAAGAGGAACACTGTTTCTACGTAAATATTCCTCTTTGATCCGTTCCATGTCAAACTCTGCTCGTGTAGTGACCACTCTCGTAAGTCCCCACTCGTCTGTTCCCAGTTTGTTGATGGCTTGACGTAGAACTTTCTCGAAATACTTCTCTGGATATGTCAAGCATTTGATCACGGCTTTGAGTAATTGAATGTATTCCGAATCCTCCTTTAGGTATTTGGCCATGGAAGTTCCGAAATTGTTTTTGTAGTGATTGAGAGTTGCGCTGATTTGAGCTTTGCTTCTTGTTGTCAAGATTCTGATGAGATCGTCATCAACATAAGCCTTCTCCTCGATCTTCTGATGAAGTATCTTAGCCTCTGACCTAGCTAGCACCATGTTCACTTCATCTCCATCGTACCTAAAAGTGCTCACAAGAGGAACCAAGAGCTGCATAACCAAAAAAACATATGTCACAAACTTATACATGCATTCGTGGCATAGTATACGAACTGAGTTTGTTAGGAATCTTAAATGAATAATTAATATAAGTGATTTTTTCTAGCTAGTATAAAAAAAATATATGAACTAGTTATATCTGATTTTTATTGGATATGTAAGATGAAATTAAGCTCATGAACTTTCTCATACTTAATTACACTACCTTTCGAATGTCTCCAGATGTGTGGTATGCGACGTCTTCCTCGAGAGAGGTTTTGTAACGGGCTTGGTATGCTTGCTTGGCACTGAAGAACTCAAGAGCAGATCTAGTACAAGCGACTTCGACAAGAACCCAATTGTTTTTGGTGAACATTTTGGTAGATTCTTTTGCCAAATAAGCATCTCTCTCCGCTGGTTCAAAAGTCCACAACATCACAGCTCGCTGTTTTGTTTACAAACAAAAACATAGTTTAACAGAGCAGTAATTCAGTATACTCAAACCAAAAGAAGACGAAGATATAAAGATGTTGTCTCTTTTAACAAATTAAAACCTCAAAGTCACCGGAAAGCTCTCTGTCTAATTCATTGAGAAGATCCTTATTGTAGTTAGCAGCATAAACAGCACGAATGAAACTGCGTTGCGTTGCATTTCTGTGAGCCAAGATTGATATGATCATCCCCTCATTGGTTCCCCATCCTGCATTAGACAAATTCACAATTAAATTAAAGAAACATAGAGTCAGAATCAGGTTTGAAATTATTCATTCAATATTAATTAATAGATTGAAAAATTAGATATTTGATTAGAAAATAGTAAAATTCATCTAGTTTCATAAATAATAATAGTACTGTCAACATATCAGCTAGGGTTAGAGGAGATAATCTCTTTAAGATTTGAAGGTCTACTAAGTACTAATAGATTATTTTTGATGATAGGAGTAATATAAACCAAATTAAATAAATCCATACCATCAACCAAACTAGATCTATATACTCTATAGATCAGCGAATATATTACGCTATGATATCAACCAAACCGATAGAGGATTCAATCAGAGAAGACGAATGCTAGACCAGTTCTAACCAAACGACTAATGAAGGGATACAGAGAGGGAGAGAGACCTTTAAAGGCTTTGTGGAGTTGCTCAGCGTCTTCTTCTGGAAGAGGAACATTGGCGGGAACCTTGAGAGACGCCATTTTTCGAACAAGTGAAATTTCTCTATGTTTTTGTTCTCTGTTATCTGGATGATGAGGTAGAGTTAGAGGCAAGTTGTCTTACTTAAATAATGAGATGGCTCTTAAAGTTTCAATTAAAAAAAATGTTTGTATAAAGATGCATTTTGGTAAAGAGACTTGGTAATTTTTAGTATATCAATAAAAAGGAAAAGAAAATAATCAATACAATGAATGGAAAAGGTAGTAAATTAACTGAAAATATTGTTGAATAGTAAATTTTGTTGACTATAAAAGTGAAGTATTAAAGCATATCCATTTTAGTAAAAAGACTTGGCAAACTTTAGTAAATCAATTAAAAGGAAAAAGATCAAGAAACCTGGCAGAAAATGAATTTAATTAAGTTTGTATACAGTTCAAGTAAAGTACTATATATATAAAGTGGGTCAAAATCTTATGATTTTGATTGTAAATGACACGTTTGGCCTTGACATTTGAAGAGAGTATACATAATTTTTTTAAAAAACTAATTATATATTTGCGGTTTAAAAGGTTTTTCTTTAGTGGATATCTATGCTTTTTTAATTAAATAACTTAATATTGTTTTTTTTTTAAATTATTGTTTTTGGAAAATAATTTGATAATATTAAAAAATGTTGATTACAGTACTAAATAACTAATTATGTTTAGACCTTTGAAGGTCCATGTGACAAGTTTATAATTATAGGAATGTTCTGGAGACGAAACAAGATTTTCATGGCTTATGTCATTTGTTTCTTGTTTAACTCCAAGAATCACGTGTTTGGTGCTAAGCTTAATGTTAAAGGAGCAGTTATTTTCTTGGCAACCAAATACTGATTATCGACTAAAAAAAACGTAACGTCAAATATCTAATTTATTTCATTGATGTAATAGTTTATATGATAAAAAATACTTTATGGATAACAACCCCAAAAGAAAGTTATAATGATTTCAAAATTTTTTAAATAAACTGTAAAAGCAGCTTTGGTACAAAAACAAAAGAAGAAGATTAAAATTGCGACTCTGCTGGGGATCGAACCCAGAATCTCTGGTTTCGTAGACCAGCGCCTTATCCATTGGGCCACAGAGTCCTTTTGATGATGTATTAACCCTTAAGTTTATAATCAATATAAAAAGGAAGTATGCTCAAAATATAATAGCCAACGCCGGTTTTTGATTAAGATCCGTTTAATTTGTATGAACCGAACCAGCCCAAACCAACTTAAAATAATTTTTTCTTCTTTTCTGAATCGTTTCAATTACTTTGGGTTTTCTACAGAACAAAAGAAAAGTTTGAAGCTTTGTGATAGAAAAAAGAAAGAAAGAATCTGATTCATGAGAACAACGTTCATAATCTGAAGTATCGAGCTTTCATGGATTGTCTAATAACACTAAAACAGAAATTCACCAGCAACTTTTAGGTACACATCCACAAAAACTCACAATTCGTTGCTAACTCAACTCAGTTTCCATGAAGTCTTGCAAAACACCAGAAAAAAAGAACAAAAGAGAGCCTTTTTAGTCATCAATCCTATTCCTAGAGAAGAGGATAAGTATTGTCTTTGAGACAATAAGAGTAGTGCGCGACTCAACATTAGCTTAACCCTTGTTTATTCTCAAACAATGGCTGGAGTCTTCTCTGCTAGTTTCTGTAGCTTCTCGGGACGAGAATCTTCGGTTTTATCTTCCCCATAAGCTGAAACATGAACTCCAAGAGCCGCACGACCTGATGGGTCAAGATTCTGTGACCAAGCTGCGTCCCATTCCACAGCTTTTGCTGTACTACATGCCACACTTGGACCTCCTGGTACAGTTGCTCTAGCAGCACTCTGCTCATTTATTATATATCCGTAAAACAAATCAGAGCATAGATCAAGACACTTAAGGAGACGAAGCAATTATGCAGATGAAATCATTACCTTAGGGAAGAACTTTTCAAAGATGGTTCTGTAGTAGTAAGCTTCTTTTGTCAAAGGTGTGTTATCAGGGAAGACAAAGCTTGCGTTCATCAGCATTGTGTCAGAGACCTTACCAAAAGAGATATGAAAGCATTATCAAACTGTGACTAAATATTCTTTCTATTGATTAAAAGAGAAATCTTATTACATGTTTGTTCGCATGTTCTTTTAGACCATCAATCCAGCTGTATCCAACTCCATCACTGAACTGTTCTTTCTGCCTATATAGAATGTGCTACATTAACCAAAAAGATGAGAAGTTATTAGCAAAGCTAGATAGTTTTGCCAAATTGCAGAGAGCAAAGTTTTTGCTAGAAAACCTTTGGTAGGTAAGGATTTTTCTCATCATCAAAGGCATTGCGTAACACCCATTTCTCGATCCTTCCCAAATCAGGCCTAATCTGCATCATTGTTTAGACCACAGATTACAACCAAATTTGTAACTTCAGATTATAAACTCCTGATAGAAGAAGAGTCATGAAAGAATCAAATGAAACTCAGAATTTCCCAAAAGCAGTGTTATATATCAAATAAACGGATAAAAATCACTTGTTTGGCGTGTGTAGAATAGAAAGATGAAAAAGAAAGCGATGAGAAAGGTGCCACCTACCATCTTCCACTCTGGATCGATGCTCATCGCGACATTAATAAATTCTTTATCCAGGAAAGGTACACGAGCCTCAACACCCCATGCAGAAGTTGATTTGTTAGCTCTCAAGCAATCATACTGATGAAGAGCTTTGATCTGTAAACAAATCCGTGCATAAACTAAATTAAGAAGTTACTAAAGGCAAAGTAGCACAAGAAGTTCTGGTCTAATGGCACTACCTTTCGACATGTTTCCTCGTGAAATTCCTTCTTGTTGGGTGCTTTATGGAAGTACAAATATCCTCCAAAAATTTCATCAGAGCCTTCCCCAGAAAGAACCATCTTTACACCAAGCGATTTGATTTTTCTCGACATTAGAAACATTGGAGTGCTGGCTCTTATAGTAGTTACGTCATAGGTCTCAACATGGTATATGACTTCTTCTATGGCATCTATTCCGTCCTGATATTATCATTAGAAAAAGATACAAACAATCAATCGATGAAACAAATCTTCACACTCAATACTCTTTGTAGATGTGAAAGCGAAACTTTACCTGGACTGTAAAGTGTAACTCATGGTGGCGAGTTCCTAAATAGTCAGCGACTTCTCTGCCAGCTTTCAGATCCGGGGATCCCTGAAAAGAAATCAGATGAAATTACAAATCTTGATGAGCATAGAAAGCTTTTGGTGAAAACATTTTGAGAAATTGGGTCAAGACCTTCAAACCGATACAAAATGTGTGCAACTTTGAACCCCACTGACAAGCAGCTTCTGATTTTTCCAGATGGCGTAACGCTACTGAAGCAACAAGGGATGAGTCTAATCCTCCAGATAGGAGGACACCAAAAGGCACATCAGTCATTAGTCGTTTTATAACAGCCTGCAGTTCAAAGAAATGACCACATTCATATTTCCAAAACCAGATCAGCATTTGTCAGAGAAGATCTTGAGGAAGATAAAACTCCAGAATTTACCTTCTCAAAAGTATTGCGCACCAATAGGGGATCATATGGGGTTGAAGGAACCAACTCAGAGAACCACGGGGGGTTGTACCACCTCCTAAGCCCACCTACAAGAAAGGTTCGTTCCATGAAACTATACAGTAAGAGTCCAAACACAAACTTACTAAAAGACGGAAACCCATAACTAAAACCAATTTGAATTTTTTTAATACAATATGAGTCAGCCAAGAAACGTCATTATTTGATTTAAAAATACATGTGATCTGATATGAAGTGCGAACCTTGTTTACTTGAATAGATGTGGCCTGGGGGGAAGCACATAAACTGTTCACAATCATCACTAAGTGCTTTCATCTCGGAAGCAAACCAGACAGAACCTGTGGAAGATAATTTGTCAAAGAACAAAATCAGTAATCAATGACAAAGAAAGAATGATCTTATCCATTGAGGTGAATTTCAATAGAGAAATGTAAACACACCATCGAGACCCCACCCGATGTAGAGTGGAGTGATACCAATGGCATCCCTTGCAGCAATAAAGCTTTTGTCTCGGGAATCAAGAAGAACAAATGCAAACATGCCATCCAACATGTCGACAAATTCCTCTCCATGTTCTTCATACTACAATATTATGAAAATATAAATCAAACAGATAGAAGTCTGAACACAGTAACCATTAGGTAACAAAGATTGAAGTGACCTTCTTGGACTTGAATTTACAAATACAGAAACAGAAAACACACAAAATCTAAGGAAGCCATGAAGTGAAATCTACTTTCAATTAGTGGGTACTTACAAGATGGGCAATCACTTCACAATCACTCCCAGTACGGAACTGGTGAGAATTCAGATTTTCACGCAAAGCCTTGTGGTTGTATATCTCTCCATTGACCTGAAAGCAAGGAAAGAGTCCAAAACATAAACAAAAAAAAAAACCTCAATCACATGAATCCTCATAAAGTTTGAGGTTTGACTCATGATTTCTTTTCGTAATGTCAATGATAATTGAAAAAGGAATAGATATTCACTAATCCCAGTTCCTCCAAGCAATTGAGATTAGGACACAAGTAAAAAATTACCGTGACAGCAATGGTCTTATCTTCGTTATAGAGCGGTTGATCTCCAGAAGTGGGGTCAACGATAGCCAAACGCTCATGAGCCAAATAACAATCCTCAAAACAATGTAGCCCACTCCAGTCAGGACCTCTATGCCTCAATCTACATAACATTTCAACAGATTATACCCATTCAATCAATTTTGACCAATCGAGTAAAAGCTCTTCAATTGACAAAATCAACTCGTTTCATCCATAAAGCTGGAAACTTTTCTCTTTCAAAACAATACCCAATAACCTTAAGAACATTGCGCAGCCAAAAACAAAACCAAGGAGATCGAAAACAAAGAAATGGATGAGATACATTAAACGGGTTGATTTGAGTAATACCTGCGAGAGAGTTCGATGATACGGGAACGTTTAGCTTGAGAGTTATCAACGCAGCCTAACACAGCAAGAATCCCACACATGGTGGTGGTGGCGGCAATAAGAGAGCACAACAACGGCTTCTGAGAAATGGATGCTGTGAAAACTAAAAAGATCAACTTTATAAGATGGCTTTCCAAAATTCAATCAGGACCGTTGATTTGGGCAATTAATTCATTTTTATTCCCAAAGAGAAAAAGATTCGGATTTTAACTTTACCCTAATTTGCCTTTGACTTGTTGATTTCGGAAAAAGATTCTGTTCCCCAGTGTCACGAGATTCGCCGGATTGGATTCTCGAGGAGAAAAATGAACATTCTTAATAACGACGTCGTCTGTTGATGATATGCCTAATTCTCTAACCAAACAAACGGCTAATCTTCCATCATAAGCAGGTTTCTTAATGGAGTAAATCATATGACAAATCACTATTCAGAAAGTCACAGCTCTTTTCATCAAATGTGTCACAGTCTTCAAAACAATGTGAATACATAATTGGGCATTATGCTGACATATTTTTGCCTAGACTTTGATTGATTGGTTTAATTCCGTAAAACGCAAGTTAAGGCTTATGACATTGACATTCTTCTCCTGAGGCTGGTTCTTGGTCCCGTGGAACTTCTTCTTCTTGCCCCGTCTCTTGTTTCATCGTCTTCGTGTTTTATCTGGAACGATTTCTTCACCTTTTGCCAACGCAAACCCCAGTTATGTGAGCTCTTCTGTTTGCTACTTAGCTTTTCATACTCTTTTTGAAGCTCATTGTAATCGTTCTGAAGCTCTGCCATCTTCTTCTTCACATTTTCCAGCTCTTCCTTAAGTGCATGTCTTGATTTCATTATCTCTAGACATTTGTTTATCCTCACGACCTTCAGAATTTTCTTCCTTCTTCTCTTGTAGCTTGTCTTGCATCATCATTCTCATCTTTACTTGTTCCGAGAAAAGCACTTGAGTATTGATCTTGTTTATGATAATATGTTTAGCTTTAGTCAGTCACTCTCTTTGACTTCAAAAAAAGGCTTATAGAATTAAAACTGTTCTGTTTTATCGCATACCTGGACGATAGTTCTCAGAGGCAACCGATCATTTTGTGCAGCGTGTAGGCATGCATCAAGTGATAGTTTCTCACAGTTCATTGTCTTGCATAATCTTCTTCTATCGTGCTCTGATAGTGAAGGATGAGTCTGAAACAAGAATTAAATCATTAGCTGTGGTTTTGTGATGAAATCACAAGAAAAGAGTTACTTACTACCTTGAGGAACATATCAATTGCTCTATAGAGACCGTCATGGCATTTCCAAGCATTTTCCGGCAACATTTCTGCTAGAACCTGAAACTTTGTGATGGGTAGACATGGATCTTTTGCAATCTCGGCTAAATAATTGTCCAAGAGCTTGGTTATGCTTGGCTTTCCTAGTACTTGTTGTTGCTCATGCATCAAGAAATACTCGAAAATCCTGTGAACCACATCCACATTGTATATAGTGTATACCTCAAGTGAGCTGTAGAACATAAATCAACGTCAAAAATTAAAGATTTCTTTAGTTGAAGTATCGAAAGTTATTCATGAGTAGATATTTTCTCACCTTGCTCCTTTCTGCTGATCTTCATTTTTGAAGTTAGGAATCAGGAGGTCACATACATTAGCATCTTCCAAAGCCATGCCGACCCGTTTCTCAAGATCAGATATTAAAGCTGGAGATGCAGAGTAAACAATTGCTGTTTTCAGCATCCTTAAGAGAAAGTGGCATGAGACTGCTCCAGATTGTGGAGGAAGTACACTGACTAAGCTTTCAATAGTTTCTTTATGTTCTTGACATCCTAAACTGCTGCTTTCCTCCATTCTTTCTCTGTTCACACTGAACTGCAACTCATTTTTCCCTAAACCCGTAACCTCTTATTCCTTCCAAATCGTCATCGATTATCGGCAAAAAGTTCTCTGCATACTTCATGATGATCTTACCTGCAATATCCGGCTTGGCACGTCTTGCTTTCATAGTTGTTATAACCCTCATGAAGTGATCAATGCCAAGGGTGGCTACGTCACTGTATAAACATCTGTCATTGCTATCTACAACATCTTCTGGTTTGTTGTTATCATTGCAAGCTTTCCAAGCAAGCAAGTCACAACATCTCCTTACGATTTGGAGGTTTTCGACCCATGGAGATAAGTTTGCACAGGATCTCAGAACAGTGAATGTATCTCTCCATGAGGAAAGTACTACAAAAGTGATGAAAGCTTCTGTCTTGGATATTAAATTCCCGGCTTCAAATTCTTCAGTCATGTACAAGTATTCTGATGCACATCTTAGTGGAGCTACATTGAGAGGACTCAAGTCCAGTGGGAGATTGTAGCAAAATTTCAGAACGGTCTCAAATGTATCTGCTCCACCTGGGAAGTTTTCCAGCTTGAGATGATATCCATTCTCAGAAGTTGAAGGTTTTAGCTCAATAGAGCTCATGTAACCACATTTGGAGATCAAAGGAAACTGTTCAAGACAAAAGAAATAAGGTAAAGTGACAAAAAAATGAGTAATAATCCAAGTTCTGCTTTGCCAAAATTAGCTGTCTAGAATTGCAATCACTAGACTCATATGTATATACACATTAATTTGAAGACTATTAAGCTAGCACAGATTACCTTGTGTGCTTTTAAAGGTAATGTCGTCGACTTGAATAGACAGATCAGTAGGGATTTGAGATTTGACATACCTGCAAAAGATTTGAAAAACAAAAGCTCATTAGCTTAAGCTAAACTTATACATATTATCAAAAGTTTGCGTACCAGGAACGGTCTTTCTTCTCGAATCTGTTAGCTAATGCAACAACTCTATTTGGAAATATAATGCTTTTGTTACATATTGGATCAGCATCAGCATCATCTCCAAAACTCTTTCGCTGGTCTGCAGATACTGAATTCATTCCCTTTGATCTGCAAAAAAACAAAGAAACTTAATCTGAGTAATATAAAACTAGCTCCAAGTGTGACTATATGTCGAATAGAGAGATGAAGATGTTGCTTATATATATATATTAAAACTGTAGAAGAGTGGGGACAAAATATGAGAGTAAATGTGAAAAGATAGTGTGTGGCTCTTATATAGTATACATAGAGAGAAGCAGTTGGTGTTTTTCGTTGTAGAAGATTTAGACCGCTCAATGCTATTTAGGTAGAGAATGTTTTTGTCATTAAATATGATATGTCTGTGTCATGTGCCACCATATATCTAGGGTCTAAATGGTAACCGAGGAATCTGGCTGAATCCGGCTGAATTGCTGAATCTGGCTGAATTTTTAGTGATTTTTAGCTGAATCTGGCTGAATTTTTACATTTTCAAATGGTAACCGCTGAATCTAGCTAAATTTTTTTGTGCTTTTCAGCAGAATCTGTCGAAATAATTAAGACTTTAACTGAAATATCGTCAAATAATTACGAATATTAATAGAATAACTAAAGAAAAATATCTAAATAAAATAGATAAAATTATCTAATTGTCTAATTAACTCTTATACCAATAAATAAATACTAGAATTAATATCTTTTTAGCAAAATTGAGTTGTTCTTCCAAATCTAATTTTTGAACTATTAAAAAGATATAATTAATTAATAGAAAGCTTTGTCAAAGTTTTATTGAAAAATTAATTTAAAAATAAACATGATAATATAGTATAGATTATCTTATTGATTTTTCATTGTTCTCTAGTAGTTTAAAGGGAGATTGACAAAAATAGCACTAAAATAAGTTTTTCTTCCAAAAATAGCACTACATTTGAAAAGTTCCACAAATAGCACTATAAACTTTAATTAATTATTAAATATGAATAATTAGTTTAATTAAAATAAATAAATAAATAAATTTGAAAATTTCCCGCCAAAATTTATTTTTCTGGCCAAAAATTTCCGCAAAGTAAAAATATTTTCCCGCCAAAATTTTTTTTTCACCGTTTCCCCGCGAAAAAAAAATTCCGTCAAAATTTTCCTGCCAAAAAAATCCACGAAATTTAGGAAAGATTCTTTGAATTTCAGGAAATAATTCCTTAAATGATTGCACAAAATTCAGGAAAGATTCAACGAAATTCAGGAAGGATTCCACGTAATTCATTCGTGAAACCCTTCATAAATTACGTGAAACCCTTCCTAAATTTCGTGGATCCTTCCTGAATTTCTTGGATTTTTTTTTTTGCGGGAAAAGTCGGACGAAATTTTTTTTGGCGGGAATATTTTGACGACATCTTTTTTTTCCGGGAGCGGGAAATTTTGTCGGAAATTTTTTTTGGCGGGAAAATTTTGACAGGATTTGTTTTTGGCGCGAAAATATAAAGATGAATTTGTGATTTTTTTGTATTTATTTAAAAAATAAAAAAATAAAGTGCTATTTTTGTCCATTAAACTTTTGAGTGATTTTTTTGTCCCAAAAACTTGATTTAGGGCTATTTGAGACAATTTTTCTAGTTTAAATCCTTAATATGATTAGGATGATTAACAATTTTTTTTGGTTTGATATTTTAAATATTATTTTAGCATAAGTATGAGTTATTTTTGTAAAAATTTGGAAAATTATATTTAAGTATCTAAAATTTATTAAAATTATCTATAGATATCTGAACATAAATATGTCTCTTGTCTATTCTGGTAATGATTTTATGTGTATGAATTATTCATATATCGTATTTGTATGATCTACAGTGGCGGACCCATTCACATGAGAGGGGTGTCACTTGACCCTGGTAAAATAAATATATATGTCGTTTTGCACTAAAATTCTAAAAGAATCAGCAGCAAAGTCGGCAATTCCTTGCTCAATGACACCCCCAAATCTTGTGTTCGATTCCCCAATATGACTTATTTGCTTAATTTTTTTCTTTTTGATCCAGGTAAAAATCATTTCTGGGTCCGCCACTGATGATCTAACTTATTTTAAAATATAAATTTGATGTGTAATTTTTAATAGCCAAAAATATTTTAATTCGAGTTGTGAATCGCTATAATCTAAATTTTTATCTGAAATGAAGATACTATGTATGTGTTGATATTGGAAAAACTGTTGAATCTGGCTGAATTTAGTTTTATGCAAATGGTAACTGCGAAATTGCTGAATCTGGCTGAATATTTTTTTCATGTTACCATTTACTCTCGAGTCTCCATCATATATGTGATGATAGTAGTTGGTGAATGTGAATTGTTGGAGTCTTAATTTTCTTCTTTTAAAAGTAAAGGTGCCTTAAACTTCAATTTGCTAAATTGGGCAATTAATTTCTCTTAAGTAATTAATCAAATGTAAACTAATTTTTAACAGTTTTTTTTTTTTTTTTTTGTTTGGTTGTTGTTTATTTTCATGGTTGGCGGTTACAATGGTGAAGCCATAAAAACGCGTCAAACTCAAACCTGACCTGAGAAACCGCAAAAGTCGTCAGATCTGCTACCTCAAATTATACGGTGAAGAAAGAACATCATTTCAAATCGGAAAAAAATGGCGAGTGTGTCACCTTTAGCCAAGTACAAGCTCGTGTTCCTTGGAGATCAATCCGTTGGCAAGACCAGCATCATCACTCGTTTCATGTACGACAAATTCGATACCACTTATCAGGTTTGATTATCACATCCCCTGGATCTGTGATCTACAGCTTTATTTGATAAATTCTCTGTGAGATCCACAATCCTTTTGCTGTAATGTGTGGATCAGATTCAAGGATTTGGTTACATTCCTTGAAATTTTAAGGAATTGCTTTTGCCAGGCATTGTGTTAATTGGATCAATTTCTGATATAAATTTTGTTGTGGGAGAATATTGCAGGCAACAATTGGAATTGATTTTTTGTCAAAAACAATGTACCTTGAGGATAGGACTGTTCGTCTGCAACTATGGTAATTCATCACCTCTTTGACCTAAAGATTTGACCTTAATTCAATATGTATTTAGATGAGGATGATCTTTGTTGTTTGGTATAATGGTTGAATGATCTTCAAAGTAGCTAATAATGTACTTATTCGTCCATGGAAATTCTCAGCATTGTGCATCAAACCATGTTACTTTGCGGTCATTAAGCTTCAAGTTTATATTATAATGCAGGGATACTGCAGGACAGGAGAGATTTCGAAGTCTAATACCAAGTTATATCCGAGATTCTTCTGTTGCTGTTATTGTCTATGATGTTGCAAGTAAGTCTTTTCTGATAAATTTTTCAGCTTTACTATTAAAGTTTCCTCTTTTGTGTACAATCTACACAGGATCAATAGTACCTTCTTTATATGTATTATCCTTCTTTGAGGAATCATAGATGGACAAAATGTCCTACTACAATGTCTCACAGATTTTGCAAGGATGCTGTGTAAAGTCTCATCTTTTTGTTTTGTTGCTTTAATGTATAGATAGGCAGTCATTCTTGAACACCTCCAAGTGGATTGAGGATGTTCGTACAGAGAGAGGTAGCGATGTCATTATTGTTCTGGTTGGTAACAAAACAGATCTCGTTGACAAAAGGTAAGAAACATTTGAAGAATGAGACATGGAAGCTTTTTTTTCATTTAGCTATCAACTTGAGATTTCCATTTGACAGGCAAGTGTCGATTGAGGAAGGTGATAACAAAGCTCGTGATTATGGAGTCATATTCATAGAGACCAGTGCAAAAGCAGGATTTAACATCAAGGTGAGAGATGCAACTATATCCTCATGACTTGTTTAAGATCTTGAGATTTCTTGGAATAACGCTTGGCTTTCTTGTTCTGGTGTTTTGGACACTTGCAGCCACTATTCCGAAAGATTGCAGCAGCATTACCAGGAATGGAAACACTTTCTTCAACGAAACAAGAAGATATGGTTGATGTGAACCTTAAGACTTCGACCAATTCGTCTCAAGGGGAGCAACAGCGAGGTGGTTGTTCGTGTTAATCAATTTTATATATATACGTTTGACAGCAACAGAATAGGAAGATTTTAAAACAAAAGATTCATAATTTGATGGAACAAATAAATCCTGGTATGAGGAAAGGAGATTACACTTTGAGACTCTAGTTTTCTTTGGAGAGGTTTTGTTTTCAATATAGAGTTGTGTAATAATGACGTGTGAAAGCTTATGAAGAAGAATGGCGATGTTTTGCTCTGTTCTCATTGCTCATTTCTTTTACATCACACACTGTCAATCTCCATCTTGACAATACAAGATAATGTTTGGATAATGAAATAAGACATGGAAAAAGAAAGAGATACAATTTCTCATATTAATCTATTGTTACGAGTATCACATTAAATGTAAGAGTAAGATATCAGATCAACAAATCATTAGAGCTCTTTACTGTTGCCATCCGTATTGCTGGTTTCTCGGGTTCTGCCCTCTTCCAGAGCTACCAGAGCCACCATATTGACCACCCTGTGTATAGTTAGGTGGTCCAACACCGTACCCGCCACCACTAGGCCCTCTAGGACCAGCCACATAAGGAGCTCCCCGTCCTTGTGGAGGATAGGATCCACTGCTGTAACCTCCTCGACTTTGATTATAACCCCCGCTCTGGTTTCCGCTAGGAGGGTAGCGGTTTGGACCAGGTGGACCACGCGGCTTCCCATAGAAGTGGTGGCTGGGTCCAGCAGGTACTTGTGGTGGTGCGTTGTTAGTGGGATGGTTGGGACCGGCAGGCCAATGTGGAGCAGCATGAGACTGTCCACCATGTTGTAGTGGGGGTAAGCGAGAGTGCTGCTGTGGTGGATGCTGCACTTTCTGTCTTTTTGCTGCTTCCTCGTTTTGGCGCTGCTGTTGCCGCTTTTTCTTTGTCTGGAACTCATGTGATGATTCATATGTGGGCAGACTGTTAAAATGAAACAGTCTAATAAGTTTGATGATGATGATGATGATGATGATGCACCAGATGAGCTTCATGAATTTGTCAGAGATATCAAAATATACAAATACCTCTTTGGGTCACATGGCAGCGGATCAGTCCAAAAGTACTCGGCATCAAGAGCATCCTTTGCCGATATTCTCTAGACAGGGGGAAAAAAAAAAAAAAGAACTTAAATGTCTAAATGGTGCTAACAATGTCCTGACTTGAAGAGGTATGCTTCATCCAAGAAACAGTAAAAGACAGGTTTTTAGAAGATAGTTCGCCGGGAATAAGATTAAAGGTCTCTGACACCTGTGATGGATCAAGCACCAACATTTTCTCCAGTAATTCAAGAGCATGCCGATCAAAGCTGTACAGAAGAGAAAGTAAAGCCAAATGAAATCTTCTGATCAAAGTAAAGCGGAGCTATATATATTGGTTTACTTTACTTACTGTCTGAAGAACTCTCTTACACGCCTCTTCAAGGGCCGTGCAGGCTTGAAATTGTTGTACCAAGGCATCTTGGAAACCCCAGGCCAAATGTTTTCATCAGGTGATCCACAAAGCTCAAATATCTTGTTCAATTGTTCTTGCTGAAACAATGTAGGAGAAGGCACATATTTTTTTGAGATTATCAATAACATGTATACATAACTACGTCTATACCATTCAGGCATTATGATAAAGCTATTGAAACCCCAGATAAAGCCTCCTACAATTTTTTTGTATGCATGATATAAGGCAAAGAATCTAACAGCCTCCCACAGTCACAAAATAAAAGTGACGATATATCTAATTCTAGTGAATCCCTTAGGTTTCCTAATTCCTACTCCAGTGATATCACAATGCAACCAGGAGACCAGGTAGATTCTTATACTATTAGTGGCATGAAAGCACACTGTCCTAACATCTGAAATGTTCAAAAGAACTTAGCTCTCGGCAAAGATGAAACTCTGACCTCATTTTTCCCAGGCAAAATTGGTTTTGCATGTAAAAGTTCGGCAAATATGCAACCAACTGACCACATGTCAATTGCTGGGCCATATTTTGTTGCCCCGAGTAGTAATTCAGGGGGCCTGCCGCAATACGTCAGACGTGTAAGTCAGCAAAGTAGCAATAACCAATACATTAGCAAAAACCATAATGCCAAGATATCAAGACTATCTCTGTATCAATTATGTAAACTGTCAATCACGATTTGTAGGCTTACCTATACCACAATGTGATGACACGATTTGTAAGATTCCCAGAATGATCATGAGAAAACGACCGTGCAAGCCCAAAATCTGCCAGCTTTAAATTTCCCTCATTGTCAATAAGGAGATTTGAGCCTGGACCAAGATCTAAGTTAATAGGCAAGTAAAAGTGGTAGGCAAACATCAACAGTGCATTTGGGAGAATCACCTTTGATATCACGGTGAAGAACTTGATTCACATGACAATAGTGAAGCCCGGTGAGCAATTGCTTCATGTAACACTTTTAAATGGATTTGAGTGTTAGAATAACGTTGAACAAAAAGTATGCAAAATGCTAATAGCATTAACAAGCTATCTATAGCCGTGCAATACCTTAATTTGAGGAACAGTAAATCTCAGTCCAGGACGATCAGCGAGTCCAGTCAAATCATGATCCATGTACTCAAAAACCATGTAGATGCCACCCTTGTATTTGTTATTATCTACAATTCCACGTAGGTAAAAAGCCACAACCTTTAGGTAAGAATAAATCCTCAATTTAGCAGAAACTAAGACAAGAGTTGAAATCACTTTTTTCACTAACCTGGCTTTCCTTGATCATCCCTGTCTCGACCTTTTAAGAGACAGAAACAGAACCATTCCATGAACCACAAAAAGTTTAGACCTCTTTAAATAGAAATTGCTAAACTTAATTCAGTGTAATTCCTTATACAAACCTGGTGAAGTCACAATCTCTTTCAGCTGAATGACATTTTCATGATGGAGCTTCTTCAGAATCTTTATCTCCCTGATAGCTGTTATAGGAAACTGCATCATACCAATTATGACAACGGGTTACAAATTCCTATTGGATACAGAAACTTGCATCTGTTCTAAACATAGTGAGCATCATAAAAACTTATAGTCGATGATATAAAGAGAAAAAAATGCACATACATACATACCCCTTCTCTTTCATTGTCCATACGAATCTTTTTGAGAGCCACAATTTCACCAGTTTTGATTTCTTTAGCCATGTAAACTTGACTGCAACAGCAAACAACAACAATCAAATATCCTAAAAGCACAACATGAGCATTGTAAAAGCCTAACCCCACAATCAAAAATCGCTTCAAAGGCCAACAATTTATCAATGCCCGAGTAAAAATAAACCCTTTTGAATACCCAAAAACTGAAATTGAATTCAAGGGGAAGAAATTGAGAAGTAGACCCGTAAGTGCCTTCACCGATTTGTTCGAGCTTCTCAAAACAATCAACGCTGCGAGATCCCCAGATCGGAGGAGGTTCCTCGAGGTTTAGCTGCCCGAAAGCTGCCAACGCCATCTTCGTTCCCGGGACTGCTCCAACTGTCGAACTCCGATGATCAAATTTCGTCTTTCTCGATCGCTTTCCTTTTCTCCGTAGGTTTCCCAACTTTCTTATGTTTAGCGTTTCGGTTTAAATCTATGAATTGTTCGGTTTGAACCGGTTTAACCGTGAACAGGCGGTTGGTGTAATAATAAATCAGTGGTCTTCTCCGTTTTAAGAAATTAGTAAAAGATATCGGGAAAGTCCAGGGTCCACCGAAACCAAGCATGGATGTGGACAGTTAAATCCGTTAAAATGTAAACAAATTAATTTTAAAACTGAAAAAAGTATCAAACACCATTGTTTATGGACTTGTTTTCAAATATACCACAAAATTAACTTTTTCAAAATTAATTATTAAAATACAAACTCCATTCTAATAATTGGACTTATGATTCCATGTTAATTTTCTTTCTTATATAATTTATCATCACAAAAGACTTGTTAACAATAATATTGTGTAACATGCCAATACCAAGCACACACAGACACACACGAAAAAATAAAAAAATTCTTTACAAAAACATTACAATTTTGTTCTATGAAGTATTTACCTATGACATCTGATTTCAAAAACATTCATACAATTGATTAATAGTATTTGTTTTTCAAAGCTTAGACTAAAAAAAAAAAACTAGTGGACATCGAACGTCCTTCATTTAATATGTTCCGAGATAAAATTTACTTTTCATAAATAAAATTAGAGGTGAATTTGAGAAAATCCCAAAAGTAGCGGGAAAATTAAGAAAATCACTTAGGTTTTCCAGTGGGTTCACCGTCTGTGACAAGAGGTGCGATAGGAACAGTGTTAGCGTGCTTATCACGCCATTTAACCGTGTACACAAACCATTCTGGTTCAAAGGAAGAACGAGGATATTCGAATCTCGACCGAAGAAACCCTAGATCTCGATTTCTTTACCAAGTGGAAGATAAGATTTACTATCTTCCGACTCATCGTAAAACCCTAACATCGGTGATCGGTCCCAACTCATCACCCGATTCAATTTGGGATTCCTCCTAACATCAGTGAACGACGGTAATTTCGGAAGTCTTTTTTTTTGGTGGGTGAGTATATATATATATGTCTGATCAGCTAGGTCGAATTTGGGTTTTGTGATTTTTAGGAATATGTTTCTTATGGTCATTCTCTTTAATCAAAACCCTATACATAAAGCTTTCCTTATGTTTCATATCATTTTTATCTCTTCAGATTTCTTGACCGTACTAGAACCGGCCAGGCTAGGCTTTTTGTTGGTTAGAGTTCGACTTGGGTGATGGGATAGATAGAGAAGTCTCCTTAAACATATATGTGCTATGTTTTGTTTAAGTTTGTTGGTCCAAAATGCCATGAAAGATAGGCCTTTTAATTTCTTCTTAGTTTTATCAACTTACTATATAGGGATGACTCATGGAAGTTTGAAAATGAATCAATGATTTAAAAATCTTAAAGAGTATAAACAATGTTCTCATCCAATCCACTTTCTATAGAAGAGATTTTTACTTGTAGATTTGGTTCATATTCCACAATGGGGTTGAGATATGATCCTACTTACTGATATTCTGTCTGATGGTGTAGTTTTCAAGCTAACCAAAACATTCCTCTTCCAAGCTACTTTCTTGTGTGGGATGACTACGTAGTGGAGTTGTTCTACCACTCCTACTATTCTAGTAATTTCAGTGATATTTTATTCTTGAGTTTCTTAATTCAAGGGAGTGGTCAGCCATTTGTGACTTATATGTCCAACACGTATAACTATCCCACTTTCTGGTCCATAAATGATGCTTAACAAGTCATATTTAAGTCTACATTGGCAATGAGAAGCCTCTGTTACCATGTTCCAGTTTCAAGCCATAGGGGTTTTCTATCGAAGGACAGCAAACCAGAGTCCAATACAGGTATATCTCATCTCTTTTAGTTAGCCAGCAAATCTGCAGGAAGCTAAGTTGTAATCGTCTGATGTCTTCTTCTTGTTGTTGTTGAGTGCTGCTTGTTAATATGTGTTGATTCACATGTTTGCTTGGTCATGTACAAAGAGAGTTTTGCAGATTTTTTTATTATACTAGTTGTTAGAATAACTAGACAGTTGAAATAGCAATGATCTATATAGTCCATGATGATTTTACCTAATATAATCTATCTGAGGGTTAAGTCAAAGGTATTCTGAAAGATCTATCTGCCCACAATATTATATTCGGGAAATCGTCAAAATTATAGACTTTTATGCAAAGTTTATTTGGTTGTCTTCTTTTTTTTTTTTTTTCTGTAAGAATTATCTTAAGTTGGGGATTTTGCATCTGCAATCGTTGTGTTGTTCACATCCATCTATCCACGGTTTGCATACAGATTCTAATCATGCATCTCAAATTGGAGCATCATAAATTCATTTGTTTAGTGTTGTTTTTATTGATTTATGGTTGAAATTCTTAATTTGTGTTTTTCCATGTCTCTGAAAAAGATAGGGACAATTTTGAAGCTCTAAAGAATAGGTTAGTGTTTACTTAATGTTAAGTGCTATACTAATCTAGAATAAATACAAAAGGCTTAGGACAAAGAGCAGATCTAAAGGTGACTTATAAGGTTTGTTCCTGGATAGCTTTATTTTCTTTATTGGAACTCAATTTAAAGACCTGACTTACCAACCCCAACCATGTGTTTTATAGTTTCGCACAGCTTTTTATGATGCTTTTGTCAAGATTATTCTATTATGTATCCTGTTCTTTACGTATATGTTCATGCAGAGATCTTCGTACTTTTTTGAGTAGTCAGGCCATGTGGCTTACTTTTTCATGCAAAAAGCTTCCCCAGTCTTTTGTCTTTAAACTCTTACACTTTCGTGAAAAGATAAATCACTTTAGCCTGTTTGCTTTAGCTACTACCTTCTTAAAAGCAACAATGTTATTTTTACAGGGTCTTTCAGATTTTCTCTTTGTCTTCTGCTTGATGCTCTGGTGAGCGAAACGATGAACTCGAAGAAAATGGCAGAGTGATGTGGCAACTCTCTTAGGTTCTGAGGTTTGTAGATGCTTCTTCTCATTTCTTTGTCTAATCTATAAGCTAGTTTACTTCATTCAGTACAATCTTTAACGAAGCAAAATGTGGTTGCTCCAAGCACTATACAAACTTATACTGTGGTAAGTATCTCAAAATTTTATGGTCTTATCACTGGTTTTGAGCTATGTTGATTGGTGATTTTAAAGGGACTGTCTTGGGAAGGTCATATTTTCAAGCACATAATTCATGAAAAAGTTGACAGAAATCTACCTTTCCACCTTTATCACATGACTGGTAAAAGTTAACAAACTTTATTCAGCTGTGCCTTTTTTGTCCCCCATTTGTCAAAGTGAAAGCTGGACTTTTTATACTTGTTTAGGATTTATTTACTGAAATAATCTCGTTTCTTTGGTTTATAGTAAATAATCTCGTTTGTTTGGTTTATACTTTGCACTAACTTTGTCTACTTTTTCCTCGTAAAGCTCAAATTTCAAAAGGTAGTTTATATGTTCAAGAAGATATGTTCGAGTTGTCTAGATGTTAGTGCAGATTTGTGAAATTAATAAAGATTTACATTCATTATTTTTAATCATAATAATCGCCTATCTTTCTTAGTATGTGCTGAAGGTGGACCATTGATGAAAACTCCTATAAAAAGCTTTTAGTGAGAAGGCACCACTAACTTGGTAAACTCAATTAAAACCGAGTTGATAAAGCCACACTACTAATCCTTTTTGTTCAGTTCTAAACACTCTTTGTTTTTAGTGTACCACTTTGCAATAGATGTAGATGCATGACAGATGATGCTTATATACTATGATGATGAATGGTTGGTTTATTTCCCATTAATAAAATTTTCTTTCTTCCAATTTGATGATTAAGGTATATATGTATATAAATTAAATACCAAGAAAACATATCGCTGCCTTGTTCTATGATGCCTAATTAACCTTTTTAAAACTAATTTCGTATTTGATGAATGACAGCTACTAGTTCTTCCCTTTGAGCTCATGTGTTTTGTATATGGTGATTTCAGTTTGGGCTTTGTTAGATTGGGTCTAACCAAATTTAGGTTAAACAATCCTAAATGTGCAACATGCTATATAGTATCTTTCTCGTTTAATATTTGCAGTGACCTCAACTGTGATGATGCATGATATATATGTATATAATATATATACCAAGAAAACATATCCCTGCTTGTTCTATGATGCCTAATTAACCTTTTTAAAACTAATTTCGTATTTGATGAATGACAGCTACTAGTTCTTCCCTTTGAGCTCATGTGTTTTGTATATGGTGATTTCAGTTTGGGCTTTGTTAGATTGGGTCTAACCAAATTTAGGTTAAATAATCCTAAATGCAACATGCTATAGTATCTTTCTCTTTTAATATTTGCAGTGACCTCAAGATTAACTGTTTGAATGTTTTTCTTTTTTGCAGGAAGTATCATACAATGAAATATTATATGAATACCTTAAAAGGGTTGTGGAGATACATACAACTTGAACAGGGATGGAAAGAGATGTAATCCTTTTAATTTGACATTCCTGGTAAAACATTCTTCTTGAACTTCATAGTATATTTTCTAAGGTGGTGCTATTCTTGAAAATTTAGAGAAATTTATCAACAATGATCATCATGAAATCATATGTTCTTTTCATTTTCGTCTATGTTCTGAATTTGGTAGATATTTTGCGATGGTTTAAATCCTGCATTCCCATTGCTTCATCTAGACTTTGTTGGACAAACACTTCTGGTTACATGCACCTTTAATTATAAACACGTAACTAAGTACGAGCTAGATTACCTATTGTCCTTGAGCAACTTGGTTTGTAGGAAATACGCATTATATACACATTCCTCTATAGTTTTTCTTCTTTTTGCGTTTAGTGAGAGTTTATTCGTGTTATAATTCCTCTTCATCTGTTTTCCTTGTTGCTTATGGCCATATATTTTACTAAATGATAGATGCTATTATTGTATCCAAACTTCAAAGTGATATAATTGTATAGAGCTCTTGGATGTCGGCATATTATTCCATTGTTAGCATCCATATATGTCTTTCACTGTCTTGAGCTGTAAAACGATGTCCACGACAAAAGAAGTTCAGCCACCTAAAATGACATTTAGTGGTTGATAGTTAACAAAAATACCGCTTAAGACCACACGATTTAGGTCATATAATATATGACTGACTTTATAAATTAATGGTAGACATTCTTATTCTCTTTTAAATATATTTGTCATGTTCTCGAGGTTTCTTGTGACGATGCTTTTTTCTCTAGCAGATGTTCCAGCAATGTTGGGCGTAACCGTTGAGAAAAGTATGTGCTAATTTACTATTCTAAATGAAGAGTAAGCAAGAAGATTTTGAACCGGTGATTTCTTGTTAATTTCTCTTCCTAGATTTGAATAATATATTGAGTTTCAAAAGATTAATGCCTTTTAGACCATTATCATATAAAACTAATCCTTTGCTATACGTAACCACCATTAATTTGATTACTAGAGATAAAATAGAAACTCATTTATGTATTCCAATAAGGTTGCCACCATGTGAACAGTTGAAAAAGAGGGTGGTGAAGATTATAGGTTTATATACGTGTGCATACGTGTGTGATGAGTTACACGTGTGTCTAATATTTGTTCTTCTTCGTTTTACAGTCACCACTTTCGTCACTCATTGGAATTTCATTCAGGAACCTAACGGATGCTGATGATATTCGAATCACGAGTACGTATCTTGGTTTCGTCTTACTTCTGTAAGTATCAAGAGTTTATAGCATTACTGCAGATAAATCCTACACAAACTTATTTTGTGTTTTAACTTCCTTCTATCGATTTTGTGGAATTTAAAAAGTTGGTTGAAAAATGCTCAGTATAGTATCTGCATAAGTTGATTATAAGTATATACTTGCAGATGATCTCGACTCATGCTTTTCACATTTACATACAAAAGCTATAAAGTGTTAAATATTTTGATTCGTTGCATAGAAAGTCCGAGCTTTTAGACGTGTTAGTTTGAAACTAAGGAGAAGAAGCAATTCAGTTGTTTATCTGACATTCACAACCAAGTTGTTGTTGTTGTTTTTTTTTTTTAATTAGAGGAAAAGAACGGTTTAAGTGACATCACATATTTCATAATTAATACTTTTGTAAAAACCTATACTGCTTTCCTTAATTCTTTAATATTTTCTTCACCTGCTCCACTCTGGGAGGAACCCTAATTCAACAAGCAATTCGAATCTCTCTTTCCCTAGCTACTAATTGAACTTTTGTAAGAATTATATTTCGTCTCTTAACCCCTTTTTAAATTCGTAGGCTTAAATGTTACCTAGGTATGATGGTACTTGTAGGCTTAAATATGATGCAATGAAACCATACATATGAAAATCTAGATGCTTCCATGGAGTTTCAATGTATAATGAAATTAAGATAATGACTTTCATTATGTCTTCTGTTATGGCTTTATAATCTCTACATGAAAATGTTGCATGCTGGTTTATAATACTTCGGAAAGTTGTTTTTTTTTTGGTTCTCTAGGCAATGTTGCGTTTGTCAAGCCTCACGTGTATTCGTATGTTTATACTTGCAGGGAAGGTGAAAATGAGTTAAAATGACAAATAAGTTAAATAGTGGTCAAATCTATACAAAAGCTGTTCAGAGTATCACATTTCATTTTCACCAACAGTTACTGAATTAATACACTAAAATATCTTCTAGAAACTGACAGATTTGATGCCCTCATTTGGTAAAACATCTTCTTGTTTGATTTTTCTCTATTTCTTAATTAGATTTTGTTTCTTGATATTATGTCGTTCAATTTGAATTTTGTGCACGGAACCTGTGATCTTCATTATATAGAAGACACAGAAGAAAAAGACAAGAGCTCAAGATATGCCATTGGGTGCAATACTAAGGCTGAGGGAGAAAGTCTTATAGGTTTTAAAGATGGTGGAGATTTAGATCATTTTCTGCACCCACCTCTCCCCTAACCAGCTCCTCCCTAGTGGTCAAAATCTGTCATATCAAGCCTGTCACCATCATCAATAGTAAGTACTTCTTCTGTTTATACCAAAACTTGCCCCTGAATTACCTTGACATTCTTATTTGTGATCTGTCCATTGCTATTGCTGTCTGAAATTTCATTGAATGCGCTTAGGAAATAAATAAGGATAATGTGAAAAATATAAAAATGGTTCCTCACCCGTTAGAACATATGTATTACCACAAAATGATACAAATCATAAGCTGATAAGTTTTCTTGTAACTATATAGTATTCTTTTCTGTAATTTATAATCAATTAATTTTTTCATTTGGTATCTTTTCTTCCTATATACAAATCTTTTCTTCCTGTAAGTTTTACCTAAAACTTTGCCATATAAGGACTTAATCATATGATGTGTCAAACAAGAAATCACACTGTCATAACAAACCCACTCTGCATCTTATTCTTTTACACTATTGGGCCACTCTACATCTTTTACTTGCTTTAATAATCTCTCAGGATTTCTTTTTCATAGTCTTGGAACATTCTCATTTTCAGAGACAAGCCCTTAGGGTTCATTGCCTTCCATTTTGTTTGGCTGATTGATCATAGCTATAATCGGTATTAAACTATAGCTAATACTCCCTCTGTTCCTCAAAGTTTGATGATTTAGTGTTTTATGTTTGTTCCACAAAGATTGATTTTCTAGTTTTTTAATTTATTTTTTATTAAGTTTTTTTAACAAATCGTAGATTTCAAGACGTAATGATTACAAATAATTAACTGTTTTAGATTATTATTGGTTCATAGATTATTAAAAAAATTTAATAAAAATAAAAAATTATCAAATGATTAAATCATAATTGTTTCTTAATATATGTGTAAACTCTAAAACATCAAACTTTTGAGGAAAAGAAGGATTATGAAATATTAAATGCATAAATTAATAGGCCATGGAAATGAATGATGCGAGGAAAACCTAATTTTGCGTGCCTGAGGAGATGTCTCTTCTTTGGCCACCCTCTTGTTGCCATGTGTTGTTGGCGCTGACTTCTATATTTCGAATCCTTTCTCTTTTTATTTGTCATTCCAATGATTAAAAAAATACAACCTAAAAGTTTAGCCCTCTTGTCAAATTCCCTTTATTGCCCTTCTCCTTCATCATGACCTACTCGGAGAAGATCTTTTATGGATTTCATAAGAAAGATGATGAAACCCTTCTTGCTTTTATTTGATCTGTGTTTTTCTTTTTTGTTTTTTTTTTGTGTGGGGGAATGTTTATCAGCAGAAGCATTCAATAACCTAGACTAGAGTTTTGGACCGTGAAGAGACCAAGCAATAACTATGTGTTGTTATTCTGATCCTTTACAAATGCAGGGGTTTGGTACTAGGGCATAGTGATGGCTACTTATGAACTGCTTCCCAATTAAAGACAAAAGTAAGATCGATTGGTATGTATGTGTTTGTCCATTGGAGACGGCTGTTCCCGAGATGATACTGATCGTTGCTTTAAGACAAGAGGAAGAATTTACATTGAATGATATTTTTTCACACTGGTAAGGGAATGCGTATGTGAGAGTATAAAAGAAAATGATTAGAAAAATGGAATTGAAAGGTGAAAGTGACATGATGGTTGTTTTGGTAGGCGAATAGGAAAGAGGCACGTGGTGAATGGACATGAAGAGAAAAGGATGCTAGGTTTAATATAAATTGGAATAAGAAGCAGTTAGTGGTTGTGAAGGAAGGAGGCAAGTAACCAAATCTCAGAGACAATTATAACAGTATAGAGAAGGAAGGAAGAAAAAGAAACCATTGTTGATTTAGATACAGAGAAGATCATCTAACATGGGAAGATCTCCTATCCGTGATGACTCTGGTCTCAAGAAAGGTCCTTGGACTCCTGATGAAGATGAGAAACTTGTCAACTATGTCCAAAAACATGGTCATAGTAGCTGGAGAGCCCTTCCCAAACTCGCTGGTACTGCTTTCTGTTTTGTTTCTTTCTTAAAAGCTTGATGAGTCTAAGCTTCTCATGCGATTCTCTCTCTACAGGTCTTAACAGGTGTGGGAAGAGTTGCAGGCTAAGATGGACTAACTACTTGAGACCTGACATCAAGCGAGGGAGATTCTCTCCGGACGAGGAACAGACTATCTTGAACCTTCATTCAGTTCTTGGAAACAAGTAATTAATTGATCTTGTGATTGTTTTGATTTTTTTAGTCAACGGTTTTGTTTGTGTACCAGATTATCTTATACTTCTTGCTTATGAATGATGATGTTATAAGGTGGTCAACGATTGCAAATCAGTTACCAGGGAGAACAGACAACGAGATCAAGAATTTCTGGAACACCCATTTGAAGAAAAAGCTGATTCAGATGGGTTTTGACCCAATGACTCATCGTCCAAGAACCGATATCTTCTCTGGCTTATCTCAGCTCATGTCTTTGTCTTCTAACCTGAGAGGCTTTGTTGATCTGCAGCAACAGTTTCCGATTGATCAAGAACACACTATACTCAAACTCCAAACCGAGATGGCCAAACTTCAATTGTTTCAATACCTTCTTCAACCATCTTCCATGAATAGCATTAACCCTAATAACTTTGACACCCTCAGTCTCCTTAACTCTATTGCCTCCTTCAAAGAGACCAGTACTAATACCACCAGCAACAATCTCGACCTCGGTTTCCTCGGTTCATATCTTCAGGACTTCAACAGCTTACCTTCCCTGAAAACCCTAAATTCCAACATGGAACCATCATCTGTTTTACCCCAGAATCTTGATGACAATCACTTCAAATTCTTCACTCAAAGAGAAAACCTACCGGTGTCTCCAATCTGGCTCTCGGATCCCTCCAGCGCAACTCAGAGTCATATACCTTCTGCTGTGAATGATGATCTGATTTTAAACCAATACGGTATTGAAGATGTCAATAGCAATATCACATCTTCAAGCGGTCAAGAATCAGCAGCTTCAGCTTCAGCTGCATGGCCTGAGCATCTATTGGATGATTCTATATTTTCGGACATTCCTTAGCCCTTCTTTTGTCTTAATTTTCAGGTCTGTTTTGGAGGAACTCAAATCGAATTTACTCTTGGAATTGTGCTTGTTGGAGAATTTTATTTGCATATCTATATATATTGTAGAGGCGTCATATATTCGTACTCATGTTGTAGAATGTACAGTACAGAGATTTCATAACTCATATGCATGTTGTTGTCAATGTTCTCTAGCATATGTCTGTACCCGTCGCAGAGTTTATATATATAAGATTTTTGTGAAATGGAAATCACTTGTAGTTGTATGGTATTTATTAATTAGGGTTTATGATAATTATTATTTGGATCTTTTGTTTTACTCTTGGCCTGGTGATAAGTGATAACATTCGAATCATATAGACAAACTGTTATTATGTGAATGAAAACACTCAGAAACTCAAGCAAATTGTGTATCTTCACTTTCTGCTTAAGTAATAATTAAGCAGAAAATCAAACAAACTGAAGTTAGCGTAGCTTAAATATGTTACATATGAAGACCAGTAGACCACATACATATTTAGTATCGAGCTGTCGAAACTTAAAGACAACACATTTTAGAGCTTTAGATGTTGTGTTGTTTGATAATCATAGATAAAGTTTAAATGTTGATTTGATTGCAAGGATCAAATAATGGAAGAAATGAAACAGCATGTGATCCGCTGGCTAACGATAATATAAAAAGGCCAAGTAGAGATTTAATAATAATTAAAAGACAAGGCCCTATAAGTATGTGATGTCAGATAAAGTTATCTCTAATTAGGTTTTAAAGAAAAATCACTCATTGAGTCTTTTTCTTGTTTTTTTGTTATAACTTTGAGTTGACTCATTAGTCATTACTTGAGGCTTGCCTTCTTAGGCAAAAAGATGTTGTGCGATTAGGGAATTATACTCCATCCGTATCTAAATGATAATGATGTATAGATTTTTTTTGTCAATGGATAATGTATAGTATTATTATCCATATTGAATCTTTAATATTTTTGGATATTTTCGATCATGCACATAAAATTTTGAAAATACATAGGTGTTGTATCAAACTAAATATAGAGATGATTAAAATATGTTAATTTTTTATTCTTCTATTTAAAAATGAAAATAGCAAATTTTTTAATATATAAATATTAATTTTCATGTCAGAATACAGAAATCTCTAGTTTGTGAATATTGTTTTTCAAATATCATAAACAGAGTTGGCAACAAAAAAAAAAAATAGAACAACTTAAGATAGAAACAGATTCCAAAAGACCCATAATAGGCCCATATAAAATACAACTTTTGTAATAGGCCCGACAATATAAGACGACAAAAACAGGTTTCTTGCAGTCAACGAAAAAAGTCAACAAAAACATCAAGGTTCTTTTCATTCACAGAATTCATACAAGTCAAAGTTACATCGTGAAACAAAACAAGAATTACGCCTGATTTTACTTCTTCATTCACCGAAGAACAAAAAAAGTGAAGTTGGCAACTTTACAGTAAAATCAAGATTTGATGTTTTTGGTCATCTTCCACCTGATAATTCAATAGCATCTTGGTTATGCATAGAATCTTCACCCCAATCAAATCTTCTCTGCAACCGTTCGAACTCATGACGTCTCGTGACTTCCACGTTTTGCCACTCTTCCCATCTCTCCGCAAGCCCTTCTCCTTCTAACATCCTTACAACTTCCGACATCACTGGTCGGTCTTCCGGTGAACCTTGTGTACAAAGCAAAGCCACTTGTATCATCATCTCTACTTCTTCTTTTATATACTCTCCATCCAAATTCTTATCTACAATTGCTCCCAATCTCTTCTCTCTTTCCAATTTCTTTACCTGTCCACAACAAAAAGACAAAAGATTATGGTAAGTAAAGCTTGAGAGAAGCTATTTGATGTGGGATTATTCGATTATACATACGTGGTCAAGTAACAAGACATCATCTTCTTCTTCCAAACGCGAAAAGTCTATCGCGCGTTGTCCTGTAACGAGCTCAAGAAGCATAATTCCATACCCGAAAACATCGGTTCTCTCTGATGATTTCCCTGTTGATAGATATTCTGGTGCAATGTGACCCATTGTTCCTCGAACTTGAGTTGTCACATTAGTCCTTCTAACATCTACTAACTTGGCTAAACCGAAATCACCAACCACTGCTTCAAAATCTTCATCTAGTAACACGTTTGCTGCTTTCACATCGCGATGTATGATCTTCGGATTGCAATGTTCATGAAGATACTCAAAACCACGCGCTGCTCCTAAGGCAATCCGTTTCCTCGTCTCCCAATCCAGAACCGGGTCGCCCGCTTTAATCTCTCTGAGTCGATGTGCAAGACTTAGATTCTGCATGAAGGGATAAACCAAAAGGCGTTCTGTTTGAGTGGTGCAGAAACCGATAAGACGCAGTAGATTCCTATGAACAGCTACACTTATCATCTCAACTTCCCTCTGGAAAGCAGCATCTCCACCAGGACTTTCGAAATCCGTCAATCTCTTCACAGCAACTTTGGTGTTATCTGGAAGCACTCCTTTGTAAACTTTCCCAAAGCCTCCTTGACCTAGTACATTCTTTTCGCTGAAGTTATCTGTAGCCAATTGAAGCTCTCTCCATGCAAATCTTTTCAACTGCCCAAATGCAATTCTCCTGTCCACTTCACCTGAAAAAAATAGTAAAGTTTGAATATTGTAGACTCTTTATTCCACAAATGTGCATATCAATACATCATAACATACCGGAAAATGAATTACGAAAGAAATATTTCCCTGTGGGTATATTACATACCTGCAACATCCACGAATACATCACGTCTATATCCTTTATGCCTATCCTTGCAGAACAGAAACAACAAGATTCCAAAGAGAATAACTGTAACTCCGGCAACAACTCCAGCAATAATGCCAGTTTTTGGCTTGCTTGAATCACCTATCACCATAGATTAGATGTTTTCAGCAGAACTAAATTCTTTCATACTTTTGAATCAGTTGAAAATAAAGAAAATGCGGTCAGAGCAATCACAAATTAATGTAGTTACCTGAATGGGCGACCGCGGATACACAAGGGTGAGGCTGACCACCGCCACAAGTCAAGTTGTTTGCCGTGAAACTGTAGTCGATTAAAACCAGATCAGACTACTGCTAAAGAAATGAAAATTTCAGATGTAACAAAAAGTAGTCAAACATACTTGTATTTTGGAATCTCAAACAGGCTTTGAGGAATCTGACCACTGAGACTATTGGAATCAAGCAGCCTGTAAACATAGTTTCCAACAATGGGAATAAGACAAGAATGCTTCCAAAAAGACGGTAAGAATATACACGAAGAACAGTAACTTACAGATTTAACAGGTTTGGTAAACCCGTGAGTGACTGCGGGATAGTCCCATTAAGTTTGTTCCTACTCAAGGTCCTATTTAGCCAATACACAAGTGAATAAAGACATGAGTGATCCTTTTCTATGTCTTAAATGTATTAAAACATGTGCAAGATGTAAAAGCATTGTGAGGCAGAACTACTTACAAGAACTGAAGCTTCTTGAGATTACCAATAGTGGATGGTATACGACCAGTTAGCTGATTGTCCTCCAAATCCAAACTGGTCAAGCTAGTCAGGTTTCCAAAGTCTTCTGGTATTTCACCCGTAATTCCATTTCCCTTTAGAGTACTATATACAAACTCGAAATGCTCATAACAAAATATGCTCTAGAATTTCAGACAAAAGGAGAGGTTCAATCTAAGGCACTTACAGAGTCTTGAGATTTTCTAGGATTCCTATTCTTGAAGACAAGGTTCCCGAGAAGTTCATGTCTGACAATGTACTGCAATCACAATGGCCATGAATATAAATCTTTTCCCACACTCGCTTGGAAACAACATTTACTAATTCAGAGTTGTCATTAAACTTACAGAGAAGTGACAAAGTTTTTGTCATCACAAATAACTTGGGACCAAGTGCAAGGATTAACTTGGTTCTGATTCCAGTCACTTAGCTGATTAGGCAATGCACGTAACGAGATCCTCAAGGCAAATAGTGCATCTCCTGAAATGGAAAAGCAAAGAATCTTTGAGTTAAATCTCTGTAATTTTTAGGGGAGAGATACTAAATTTTCAACCTGAACAAGCTCAGAAATAACCAAAAACAAAACTAGGAAATGAGAGCAAAAAAAAAGCAGTTGATAAGTAAGAAAAGGCATCACCTTGAGCATCTGGAGACACAAATGAGCATAAAGAGGCAAAAACCAACACAGTAAAAGCCATAGCCATCTTCTGCAAGCTGAACTTTCTCATCTCATCTCATTAATTGAGCTTGTTCCATCTACAAGTCCCATTTAATAACATTAGCACAAAATCTTTTTCTTACTTTTTAGTGGATCTGACACATTATAGAGAAAAATTAATGGAGAAATTATTATCTTCAACTATGAATCAGAAACTTTCTAAAATTCAACCAAAATTAGCTGAAAATTAAGACTTTGCGGTATGGTATAGAGGAATTAGGGATAAGGATAAAGGCCACTATTGAAAGGTTGAGACTTTACATAGAAACTGATGCTTAAACACGAACATGCTCAATTCCCCAGAAAAATTTGTCAAACTTCTTCATAAGAAATCCAAATCTCAAAAACAGAGATTTAGGCAACGGCAAAAAAAAGAAAGAACCTCGTACCGAAGAAGAAAATCCCAAAAAAAAGGAAACAATTATCGCTGCTCGGAAGATTCAGTCCGGAGAGTAGAACCAAAGAGAACAAAACAGAAAAGAGAAAGTGAAAAGCTTTTGTCTCTTTGATTTTATTCTGTTAGTGGTACACTTTGCGATGCGTTTTGGCAAATCGCAATTATCACTCTCGCTAATGGCCTTTGAATGAGAAAAGTCCGATGTTGGTCCACGAACTGCTTTTTCTCCGTGCAACTTGTAATTATTAAATAGTTTGTTAACTTTGATAATGATGTTTGGAGTGTCATTATAGTATAAACTATTGTATCTGCTATTTAATTACGCGGATTTATTTAGCTAATGTGAATACTCCCTCCGTTTCATAAAGAGTGTCGTTTTAAGGTTTTATTTGTGTTTCACAAGGAGTGTCGTTTTAGGTTTTCAATGCAAAATTTAATGATTTTTTATGTTTTATGACTATTAGTATTCTGCAGATTGTTTTACTATTGGGCAGATTATGTTTAGGTATATAGTTAATGATGTTTTTGTTTGGAAAAAACAAAAAATTTAATGTTTTCTTAATCTGTGTGCAAAACTCTAAAATAACACTCTTTGTGAAACAGAGGGAATATACATGAGTATGTAATTTGTAGGTACATCAATTATGTATTTGTAACATGGAATACAACAATTAGGAAGATTATATACTAGACTAACGACTCAATTTCTTGTTTGAACAAACGCTTTGATTATTAAACTAACAATCAACGTAAAATCTGAAAGTTCTTTTCATCTAACGATGAATCTTACCGCATCGTTTAGAATCGAAACAAAAGGGATTCCAAGATTTGTGTCAAAGTTTGCAAGTATCATCTAAGAACAAGGTTTTATGCAAAAGGGATAATCCCGAAATAAACCAACAAAAAAGAAGAAGATAATGCCACAAGTCCAATTTTCGTTCATGTTCATTCAAAAACTGCTGAAATAGCCAACCTAAAAAGGAATCGAATCTCTCCCTGTACAAAAGGAAAAGTTAAAATTAGTACCAAAGGGCAAAAACGAAAAAGTTCAAATGAGTCAATAAAAGAGAGTCACAGTGTTTGACGGCCCATGGGCCGGTAAAAGTCTCGGTTATACTCAAAGAAGGAAGCTTCTTTATTCTCAAATCAATATGGAGATTAGGTCGGTGACGGGTAAACAATGCAACATGTGTTAACAGGCACGTGTTTATGGTGTTCAGTTGGTTCCCTTGAGCCTTTTTACGTCCATCTAATCCGTCGATGTCAAATTTTACATGTGGTACTCACTCACTACTCCGTTATTAGATTGGAACAGTAACTTGATGTATTTTTTAGTTAAATTCATACACCTCTTCTCTAATCTAAAAATCTATTTCTACCTCAATAAACTCGACACATGTCATAAAATAAGAAATTATTAAAAGCGTAACGCATATGAACCTTTATCCAACTATAAAATAATAACGTCATATCAAACCTTACCCCAGCCATTCTCAAACAAGCAAGAACCTTAACCAAAAAGAAAACGTCTACCGAGACTTATGGAGAGGAAACATCACTTCGTGTTAGTTCACAACGCTTATCATGGAGCCTGGATCTGGTACAAGCTCAAGCCCCTCCTTGAGTCCGCCGGCCACCGCGTTACTGCTGTCGAACTCGCCGCCTCCGGGATCGATCCACGACCAATCCAGGCCGTTGGAACCGTCGACGAATACTCCAAACCGTTGATCGAAACCCTCAAATCTCTTCCAGAGAACGAACAGGTGATTCTGGTTGGATTCAGCTTCGGCGGCATCAACATTGCTCTCGCCGCCGACATATTCCCGGCGAAGATTAAGGTTCTTGTGTTCCTCAACGCCTTCTTGCCCGACACAACCCATGTGCCTTCTCATGTTCTAGATAAGGTTTGCAATAAAATAACATAAATTATTTTGATACTTGTACTTTTGTATAATTTGACCTACTAGTCTAATACCATGCAAATAATTCTTGGTTTGGTTATGATATTAAAGTATATGGAGATGCCTGGAGGTTTGGGAGATTGTGAATTTTCATCTCATGAAACAAGAAATGGGACTATGAGTTTATTGAAGATGGGACCAAAATTCATGAAGGCTCGTCTTTACCAAAATTGTCCCATCGAGGTATTATTCCGACTAATCTCAATTTTTTTACGCAAGAACTACAAAATCTATATTCAAACTTTTTCTAAAGAAACAATATATATAAATAATATATGTGATAAAGTTTTCGAATATGAATCACGTATGAGATGATTATTAATTATTTGTAGTGTCTTGTTATATGATGGCTGTGAAGGATTACGAGCTGGCAAAGATGTTGCATAGGCAAGGGTCATTTTTCACAGAGGATCTATCAAAGAAAGAAAAGTTTAGCGAGGAAGGGTATGGTTCAGTGCAACGAGTTTACATAATGAGTAGTGAAGATAAAGCCATTCCCTGCGATTTCATTCGTTGGATGATCGACAATTTCAACGTCTCAAAAGTCTACGAGATCGACGGTGGAGATCACATGGTGATGCTCTCCAAACCCCAACAACTATTTGACTCTCTCTCTGCTATTGCCGCCGATTTTATGTAATAAACTAAAGTCCGTTTTACTCATCGTTAGTATGGGTTTAATAAAACAATCCCTTTTTCCCGGCAACTTTTATCAATAAAATAAAACTTATGACCTATCCTTTCGATATGTTTTATATTTGTGTAAAGCAACTCTAGTAAAAAGAATCACGCATAGTCGCATAGCAAAATCACCGTCAAAAAAATCAAATAGATTTTCTTTTGTGTGTCAATTAACAGTAAAGACAAAAAATGCACATAGTTCTGGTTAGACTCATAGTTATGTTATGTTATTGATTACTAAATTATTTTGAAGCTATAAAACAAAGAAGAAGAAAACTTAAACAAAGAAGAAGAAAACTTAGAAGTAGAGTAAATAATTGTACGAAGTTAAGCTTCACTCAGATAATGGGTCTACAGAAGATTCACGAGGAGACTCAAACAGTGACGTGTAGGACAGTGGAAGCAGGTGAGACAAAATTGATTAATCAATTTTCGGCAGTGTATTGTTCCATTCAAATCAAATCTAAATCCATTATTTTTTCCAAAATTAAATAAAAAATTTGTGAGAGTAACTGGTTATAATTACAGTTTAAGCTTAAATAGTTCTGTTCTGTCAGTAAAAAATAATAAAAAGCTGAAAAGCTGTTGAAAATAAATTGTGAACATGCAAACGTTAAGGAATCAATTCAATATAAAGATTTAATAAATTAAAGCAAAAAAGTGTTGAAAGAAATGAATTACGCAAGTAAGTAGTTACAGGGGACTATTTCTCTCAAACAAAATTTCAAAATAATCATGGAACTTTTTGATTATTTACACAAATTGAGCCGTACATTTACAAAGAATCCAAAGAACACCTCTGCTCCCACAAAAATCAATATTTTTAGAAACTTAAATAAAAAAAAAACAAAGAGAGAGATCAAACCATGAATTAAGGATTATAAAAGTGGCCATTGCAATGACATTTCCATCCCATAGGTTTGTAATTAGAGTACTGATCAAGAACGGTGGTTAGAGAAGAAGGAGGTCGTACGAAACCACCGGAAAACGGGTTAACTCGTGTGAACCGGGAGCGAGTTGGGAGAGTGGGTACTTGAATAGCCATGCAAGGATGGCAGTTGTTGCATCTGTTGTGGCAGCTTGGTGGTGTAGAACCTAATCTTGCTTTATCTTCAATCAAAGCCACCTGAAAATTATCAAAAGGAAGAAAAAACTTTAGATCAAGAAATGAGAAACATGATTTGATTAGGGGAATTGAGTTGAGAAAGATGGGTTTGTTGATTACTTGAGGAGAATTCGGAGGTTGGACAGGTTGAAGAAAGGATGAGACTTGTGGTGTGATGAGAACAATGAGAAGAAGAAGGGTTGATTTGTAAATAGCTAACATTTTGAGTTTGATTCAAGAATTACTACTATAGAGGAGGAGCTTCATGTGGGTCTATTGAAATTTCAAGAATTTGTTTGAAAAAGCAAAACAGAGAGAGAGATGATGAAGAAGTAGAAGAAGGTTTTTTGGATCAGAAGTGAAATGAGTGAGTTAAGGAGAGAGAGAGATAAGGGGAGAGAATGGGCAAAATGGTAAATTAGGGAAAAGAGGAGTGAAAGGAACAAGACAGAGTGGGGGAGACAGAATAGGAGGATACATATCAGAGAAGAGAAGTAGCCTTCTTTCTATGTGTCACTTCAATCTTTCTTCTCTTTCTCTCTTTTCCTTTCCTTTATTCTTTTCTCATTTCTTTTGGATATCTCTCTTTGCATTGTTCATTAGTTTTTTGTACATCTCCTATTGATTGATACAAAACATGCACTGTTTTGTAGTTTGAAGAATATATTGGAGTATATATATATAATAAACGGGATTAGAAATGAACAAATCCTCGAGACAAAATTTGGGTCAATGTTGGTTATTAGCTAGAACCAAGAAGAGCTTAGTGTTGACCAAGTTCGCATAGCAACATGTCGTCCATATTTATTCAACCAGTGATACCTTGCAACATGCTTAATACCAAAATATATCTTTGGACTTATATGCTTCTTTTTGGTATACTTACTTAAATGCTTTATGGTTCCAAACTCATTACTAATACTAGCTTTCTCAATAATCTAGATGTTGAATGGGAATGTTCAACGGTTAAAAGAGAGTTGAATAACATTTCACCGGTAAGTATCTATTTACTGACACATCAAATTGGGGTTTCCTTTTATCATCAGGAAATAGTAAACGAATAGGGAAATTTGGAGTTTCCTTTTTTCATCAGAAAATAGTAAGCTAATAGGGAAATGGGGTTTCTTTTATCAACCCATAATAGTAAGCGAATAGGGAAATTACTGAGAAGTAATAGTGTAAGTAAAAACCACAAGTTTGACTGAGATTTGTCTTTTGAACAAAATGAGAAAAGAGGTATGTAAATATTTACCAAGAGCAATAAATGAAGAAGAGGAAGAAGGATGCCACATTTTTATAATTTTGACTGCATTCAATTAATAACTTCAACAATCTTATGTTATTAAATGTGAACATCTGTCCCCTTAATATTTTAATACTAATAATCTGTGTCTCTTTCTGCTGCTGTTTTCCAACAATTTTCGCAGTATCGTTTTCTCCATAAACTTGTACATTTACTATTCGTATATCATTTACTTGTACTTTATGTGACATTTTTATCATTTTTAGAAAAAATTAGTTCTTCTTAAAGCAATGATTCTTTTCTCTCTTTTTTTTGGTTTGAATCAAAAGTACAGTACAAGTAACCACTCGAATGATTACTTTTTTTTTTTACATATTAGCTGAGTTTTCAATCGACATGATAATTAAAAGGACTAGATTTTGGAATGGTCCATGGACCAGTGATGATCATTAACTACTGTTCACACCAAATTTTAAAGGAGAATTTCGGTTACAATTTATTGCCATCGACTTTGGTATCACCTCTTAAAAATATAAAGTGTCAAACTTTGGTGCATCGAATCAATACTATTTATTTGAAATAAATGCGTAAATTTAAACAAGTGAAAAATTAAAAGAAGCCACAAACAAACAAGCTTTTTCTTTTTTTCTATTTTTCCTCAGGAAGAACTGAGAATATATCTAAACCCGTGAAATTTGGATCATCCTGTTTATTCATTTTGAAAACTCAAATATAAAATAAAATTGAAAAAGAGTTTGGAAAATAACAATACACGATTTTGACAAAAAAAATAAAATAATAACAATACACGAAAGAAAAGCCGTGAAACTAACGTTCCGTGGAATCGCGTGATCCGTTCAGTGACTATCTTTTTCCACGTTACCTGATTTGTCGCATTTCAATTTTTTTCTTACTAACATTATTCAAAGATAAAGAAATAAAATGAAGTCACAAACAAAAAAAAAAAGATCTTCAGAGAGAGAAGACTTTCACAGTAAGACAACTGAAATTATTATTGCATGATCCAATTCTAATAGTCAATGGCTTTTGTCTCCTTTGATACATAATAGGTCACAAAGTCTTCAAAGTATTTTTTCCTTTTAAACGGCTCAGATGTAACGAGAAAAGATCCTACGGTCAAAGAATGTTTGGTCACAAACTTACACCTATTCATGTCTCGGCCAAGGATACAAAAAAAATCCCGGTTTAATCCGGTATACAACCTTAACTAAATCCCGGTTTTATAGCAGCTCGGTATGCTTCTTCGTCGGAAATAACCGCCGGTATGTTCCATGTTCCCAGCGAATGACCAGAAATTTTCCCACCTGATAAATTTTCCCTTTTTCATTACGTAACCAAAAAAAATTACAGCGAATTTGATCCATGTTGTGATTTTGGTACCTTCTTTAGTAGCTTCTTCACATCTTCTTTGGTAATTTGAAGACAAATGTGGATCCAGAGATTTCATAATCTCTTCATACTTGTCTTCAGCTTCTGATATCCGCTTCGCCTGAAAAAAACAATGAGCTCTAAGATATTTTCAGAGAAACGTTGATTTGATTGTTGTATTAACGACGTTTCTTTACCAGTTCAGTGGGTGCATTCGATGAGCCGAATATTCCCACAAACATACGTAAAACATTGAAATTGTTCTCAAGAACATCGTCCTACAAGAAAACCATATCGAGATCATCAGTAAAGATCGTGATGACGTTAAGTGACTTCTTTGAGGGTATCTAACCTCGTAATCGAACCTGCAAAAGTAAAGTTGAAAACCACTCAGATTCTGAAAGATTCAAACTTTTTGTGTTTATGGTAGATGGAGAGGTAAAAGAAGCATACAGATCATCCGCTACTTCAACCAGGAACTCTGAAATTGACAAGAAGTCCATATGCAACTCATTCACCTTTTCCAAAGTTCCAAATAAAGAAGAGAAGACATATATATTAAATACAATTTTCAATCTATTATGCATCAGATACTAGAAGTGGATTGAATATGACTTCACATAAAGAAGAAAACAAAGCACGTGAATGTACTACCTCTTCTTCTCTCAACTTGTATAGTAGAAGATTCAACACCCTGTAATCAAAGGACTTCAAACGAATTGCTCTCATCACATCTTCGAGACAGAGCTACAAAGATATAGATGAAACAGTGAGCAAAATTAAACAGCACATTGTTTAACAACAACAAACTGCACTAGTCACCTTATTTTTGTTTGAAAGAGCATGACATAGCTTTCTTTCTAACGCCCAATACTCTTCACCCGACTTAAACTCTTGTTGTATTCTAACCCATGCAACAAATTAACAACAACCAGTGTATATGTTTGTCCCTTTCCTGATAAAAACAGTAAGAAAAATAAAGTTATAGCAAGAAAATACCTTTGTGTCAAAAGGCCCTCACGTTCAAGCAGATCTCCAAGCAGCTTCAATGGATCAGTTTCAAACAAAACTCGTGATTCAGCATTCCATCCATGACTTGAATACTGCATCTCAAACCATTAGCTTGTACACTGAATTGGTGATTCTCATACTCCTAAATATTACACATGCCATCTTACAATGACTTGGGATCCACGAGCTGATTCACTGACTATCTTCTCATTAAGAGCATCCATCTACAGAAACAAAAGACCTACATTTCTTAGATTCAGGTTACATTGTCATTGTTGCAGCGCACATTAACTTAACAAAGAAAATCTTATAGACATGAGGGAGAAAACAACAGAAATACAAAAACTATTACCTGATATATGTAACTCTCTGTGAATGAAAGCACTGGTAAATATCTGAATATTGACTGCGGTTCGTTAATATCCAACCGATGGAACATGAAATAAGACCTGGACTGCAACAGGATATGGACAGTTACTAACATCAGCAAATTCAGAAATCATGAGAGATAACACTTGCATAACTCAATAAACAAGATCACTCTTCCCTAATCAATGATTAACTAACTCAACCAGTCAAGACAGTGAATAGCAATGCATTTGCAAGAGGAAAAACATACGAAATCCTCAAGTGTAGAGTTTGCTCTTTTCATTGCATCTAGCCCGACCATTGCCACAACTTCTTGGTTCTTCTGTGACATGAAAGGATCAACATTGCCCATGACACTCCTCTTCACACAACTCTTTGCAGACTCTGCTGCATAAAAATTGAACGATCACGCACAGTTATACATTAAGAATACTCAGAATTAATCGAAGCTGCAGAGGAACTACATGTGTTTGGGACATCATTATCTCACAAGAATGAACTTTTAAAGCCGCTCAGATAGTGTATACAGAGAGTAGAACCTGAAATTGTGTTAACTGGTGTAGTAGCTTCATCATCTAGCTCAAGTGAACTCGATATCTTTTCCAGAAAAGGTCCTGAGATCTAAGGTAATGAAACAAGACACATTGAAAGAAGGGTATGTATAATCTAAGGCTCATTGAAAACTAGTTAAAGAATCTAGCTTTACTTACTTTCGGTAAAAACTCAGAGACTAGACCCAGTTTCGATTCTAAATCGAGTTCGCCGCATGGTTGTACCTTGAAATAAGAGTCAAATTTAGATTTTTTCCCGATTGTCCAAAACTGAAAAAATCGAAAAACCTAAACTTTATTATGGTTACCAGGAGAAGGACGAGATTGGAGATGAAGCGAGAAGAAGAAGCTGAATCGGAGGTTGAAGAAGAAGAAAGTAAACCGTGACAAGTGATCGATGATACAACACTCTGAAACTTCTCCAGTCTCTTTAGCTCTTCCATTTTCAAATAATGAAACTCTTAACATATTTTCTCACAAAAACGATTCGCACTTTATTTACTCGTCTTGAGCAAATCGTTGTTTTGTAACATTCAACTTTCAATAAAAAAAATCTAAATTGATTATCGTAATTATTTTTAGATTTACAGGAAATAAAATAACAACAAAAAGCCTTAAATTTTAGATATTCATATTTTTTTTTATTTTTTTTTTGTCCTTTTTTTTTTTGGAGTCCTAGTTGGAATGGGACTCAGATGACAAGTATGTATATATTTTGATCTCTTTCCTTCTCTTCATCATTGAAAGAAAGAGACAAAGCATGGAAGAGTTGTTACCGCACGATGTGATAGAGTTTCATATTCTGGAGAGGCTTGATGTAAAAACCCTCCTCAAGTTCAAGTCTGTATCTAAGCAATGGATATCTACTATCCAATCCCCTTGTTTCCAAGAACGACAGTTGATCCACCATCTTAGCCAATCACCAGGAGATCCACATGTGCTTTTGGTGTCCTTATCTGATCCTTCTGCTCGTCAACAAGATCCAAGCTTTGAAGCTCTGAGAACGTTGGAGGTGGGGTCATCATCAGCTTCTGTTCAGATCCCTACTCCTTGGGAGGACAAGTTATACGACGTTTGCAATACTAGCTGTGATGGTTTGATATGCCTCTACGATTTCTATGCTTTGCCCAGTATTGTCGTCAATCCCACCACTCGATGGCATCGAACTTTCCCTAAATGCAACTATCAACTAGTCGCTGCCGACAAGGGTGAGAGAGACGAGTGCTTTGAAGTCCCATACCCTACTCCTGGATTTGGCAAAGACAAAATCAGCGGCACATACAAGCCAGTTTGGTTGTATAATTCAGCTGAGTTAGGCCTAAACGACAAGGCTACTACTTGTGAAGTTTTTGATTTTGCCACCAACGCTTGGAGATACATTTTCCCTGCTTCCCCTCATCTGATTCTTCACACCCAATATCCTGTTTATGTAGATGGGTCACTTCATTGGTTCACTGCCTTGTCACACGAGGGCGAAACCATGGTTTTGTCTTTGGATCTTCACTCCGAAATTTTCCAAGTCATCTCTAAAGCTCCCTTTCTCAATGTCTCTGATGAATATAAGATCGTCATGTGCAACCTTGATGATCGTTTGTGCGTGTCCGAGGAAAAGTGGCCCAACCAAGTCATCTGGTCGTTGGATGATTCAGACCACAAGACATGGAAGCAAATATATTCCATAGATCTCATTATCACTTCTTCTTTGTTCGGGATTACCAGATTCGCATTCACACCACTAGCAGTTTTGGACAAGGACAAGTTATTGTTTTATGATCGTGAACACGGCAATGCATTCCTAACACATGATCCAGATACCAAATCTTATGATTTGCCTTACACATCTAAACGCTGGGCAAGAGTTGTTTGTTATTTCCCGAGTTTAATTTCTATTTTGTAGACTTGAATGATTATTTGTCCAAGCATTCTAGTTTCTGATTAATTTGCTCATTGGTTCTACTAATCTTTATGTTTGATTCCATGCTAGAGGCTTGTTTACGTAACATCCATCTTCTTATATGGTGTTGTTTCACAAAAGTCCGAATAATAGCTACGGTATGGCACCGAGGTTTTGATTTTTGGGTCATGGAGGATTCTTCGGTTTACTTATTTAGCCAGCTTTGGATGAAAGAAAGCAATAACAAAGATATAAACTGAAAGTAATATCGACCACATAAGGAAACAAAAGCTTATAATCTCATCCGTACATGACCGATTCAAAAGTAAGTTCAGGTGCATAAAAAGGCAAAGTCATATTCATAAATAAAGCTGGAAATATAGGCACGACCTCTATTCTCTAGGCATCATCTCTGTCATAGACTCATTATTCTTCTTTGGTTCTTATTCCAGTAGTACGGTTTCTATTGGTAAGGCATGTACCGCATTGGCCTTCTGAACCTAGGAGCTTTCCTGCGAGGCAATGCTGTGTGAGACGAAGAAGAGAACGCCATTTGTGATAACTGATGGTAAATATGCAGAATTTAAACTTACCCGTATCCATATGGGGAATAAAAATAAGGAGGCACAAAGGGTCTGCGAAAGCGGTATCCAATTGAAGGGTTGAAACGCCCAGGATGATACTGTTTCATTCCAGGAACATTGGTTCGCTTCGGCGAGACCTTAAATAAAAAACAAAAGAGAAGACTGAGATCAATGAACTGTCCATTTCCTTCAGTATTGGTTTTAGTACGAGAAGATACCTTCAGTTGACGACCATGTAGCTCTGATTCATTCAGTTGCAGAGCTTCTTGCACAGCTTCGACTTCTACAAACTCCACATAAGCAAATCCCTTTGGCTGTCCAAACTTGTCCATTAGAATGGTTACCCGGTTGACTGTTCCGCATGTTTGGAAATGTAGTTGCACTTCTTCAGGCGTACAGGCATAATCGACCTGCAGGGTGGAAAATGAGATGTTAGTATAACACAAGCATTCTTATTGCAGCTAAAACCATGACTCACTGAGCACATAACAGATAGGTATGTTAACCACTTCACTAAGGGAAGCCCAGTGACAAACTTGTGTGCTCAAAAGCAATCTTCTATGTCTAGCATTAGACCCTAAGATACGTATGGAACATAAACGCTATGAGATTCTTGATTTTAAGAGCGTCAGGCAAACATAAATGTTAATAGGCCAGCATCAAACTGCAACCTCTTGCGATCCGCAAAACAACCAAACCTGTATTAGCTCCAAGTATCCTTTCTGCAGAGCTTTGGGTCTTTGGTTGGAAAGCACCCAGCATCTTGGCATCTTGATTCAGCTCTTCAGAGACCATCTTCTCAAGGATTACAAAAATCCTTGCTTTCTAATCCCACCCAACTCACTCAGACTCCCTTTTTTTCCTCTCAATAAGTCCCTTTTTTTTTTCTCAAACTCATGCAATCTTTTTCTCCACATTTTTTCTGCTTCATCTTTTTTTTTTTTTCTTTTTTTTTTTTCAATTTTTTTTCCTTCTCTTTTCTTTTTACTTTCAACATTTTTTTATTATCATCAAATTGCACGACAAGAATTATTTCAACACTACAAGTCTACAACAAGGAAACTAGCACATAGAGGTCCCAGAGCTATTAAGAACTTCAGTTATGAGAACAACCCTGCGATTATATAGGACATAGAGGTCAAACTATGAAACTAGAGCTGCAAATCTTTCATAAGAGAAACAAAACTCAACACACTTCAGGTATAAATAAACGTACTAAAGATAACCAAACCAGAAAAACAATCAGACTTAACAACATTAAAGTTAGAGAAACCATCTTGATACTGATTCTGACAGTAATCTCAAGGGATAAAGAACAAAGCTAAGACACAATTGAAAGCAGTTCTTTTCTCAAAGCTAATCCACATTAAAGATTCGCAACAGATCAAAGCCGTTTAGATGAAACAATGATTCAAGCAAAAAGAAAACACAGAACAGAGACAATGAAGTAAAAAGTAAGCGTACTTACATTGCCAACATAAACTGATCGAGCATCCACCTCCTCCTTTCCTTCTTGATTTGCAGCCATAGTGGCAGGATCTGAAACAATATTGCAAAGAAAAAGCCAAAAACAGAAGTTCAATTTCCTAAAAGTCATCTAGATAATCAACAGATTCCAACGAGTATGTCGAATTCAAAGATAGTCTCGAGCAAACGTATTCAACACATGATCAAAAAAAGAAACGAAAGAGCCACAAAACCTTGAGTAGCTCCCATTTCTTTTTCGACTTTTGCTTGCATCTCGCGTAGCGCAGCAGCTTCTTCCTCCATCTCCTTCAATCTCTTCTTCATCTCAGCAAGCTCCTGATTCCAACGAAATCAAAACACCAAAAATCAAACAGATGTATACACACGAAATACAATATCAAATCGAGCGAAACAAAAAGAAGCAGACCGTAACGGCGTCATCATCGCCGGCAGACATATCGATATCCGGATCGGGAACATCCGTCTCTTCGACTTCAGGGATTTCTCCGCCGTAAACCTCGTGCTCTTCTTCCTCCATTTTGTTTCCACTCGTCGTCGCTCAAACAAACGAATAAAGCTTCGCTTTGGTGAATGAAAACGACTTGCACACTTTTCTGACCATCCAGAATTCCAGATAGGTCGATTGCAACAACGACTTCGTCTCGTTATGGGCCTCGGTAACTAAGCCCATTATCATCATCACACTTAACTGAGTCAGAAAGTTTTGATTTTTCTTTAAAACTCGGCCCATCATAGGCCCCCAAAAATATGGAAGAAACAGGCTTGTGAATAATTTATCAAATTATAGCATGAATCAAATTAAATTTATGGACCAAATTAACTTAATGAGGAGTGTGAACAAATACTGCATATCAGATTTAGTTCATATCGTAGACCAAATCATCATACACATATAACATATTATCCAAAAAAATATGATACAGTTTAATCCAAATTATTCGAAAAGTATGATAAAGAATGACTTTTCTCAAATTATTGTGGATATATATAACCATTTGTTAAATGAACAAATTTTAAGTGTAGTTGAGCAAATTTAAGTTTTCTCTAAACCAAAATTTAACGGTGTTTTCATGGTCAAGAAATTAAATTAGGGGTTAGAAGTTGTACACATATTTGATGGATGTGTCGTAAATTAGGGGTTAGAAGTTGTACACATATTTGATGGATGTGTCGTCTTTGCTGTTTTACAAACTACTTTAGGGATCTTGTTAGTTTTTTTATATTGATCTCATGGTTAAGCCTAATTTTCTTTTTATTCTTCAGTTTTCATTTGCATAGGCTGTGACCATTGGGCATAAGTTAATATTTAACTCTTTCAACGCCTCACCTTTTTAAATCTCCCATAAAAGAGAGTTTCGTCTTCTATACTTGCACCCGTCTCTTTCCGTCAAGAACACGATCAAGATACTAATCTAATGGTAGTGCCTTTCTTCATTCTAACTTAGGTTTTATGTCGGAATTTTCATGTGGCGATTGTTGGCATGTCCTATTTCATTGGGTTATTTAAATTCGATGGAAAATTAATTTGGGAATTTTGTTACAGAGTTTTTTTATTTTTTATTTTTTTTTAGGTTTTTAATCTGGAGAATTTTTGTTCTTATTATACGCTTTATAGGTTTATGCGGTTTGGGTTTTGTAAAAGAAGCGGTCTTTGTTTAGATTTTTTTCTTCATGAATTTGATTTTGAAAATTCTTGAATCTAATCCATCAATTCTTAGTATAGGGTTTTGATTCTCGATTATGGACTCAGTTCATGTATATCAAAAATTTTGTTTAGAATTTTGGTGAAGATTAGTATATGTGTACTGAGGAAGCACACATCTCATATTGGTTTAGAATTAAACAATTACGAAACTTTTTGTTGATATACAATTTTTTTTCCTAACATGTTATACGATCTATATATTGGCAAACTATATATGCCTATTTCGTGACTTTCTCTGTTTATTTTAGTACAATTTGTTGTAGGTTTCTGAGTGTGATCTTAATTAGTGATCACAACATTATGTCATTGTCCATTTACAGCTAGTCAATCACTTTTTAATTTTATTTTAATAAAAAGTGTTTTCATAGTATATGGTTACTGCAAAATAAATAAGGTAACCAACATTATGAAATTTTAAATCCAAAATTATGTTGGGCTTATGTTCTCCACTTATGTTCCTTCTTTTGGGCTTTGACTTTAGGTTGCGTTTGAGCCCATTCAATTTAATTTAGATTAGGCCCTCGTAATTTGTTTGAATTTACATTATTAGTATCACTGGAAAACATGCGTCGGACACGTAAGCATCGTCAAAGACTCTTCTTCTTCCATTTTTTTACTTCACCATTGTTGGAAACAGAGGATTTCATTTTCGGCGAAGATGGCGAGTGGAGGAGGATACGGAGACCCGTCGCAGAAGATTGACTACGTCTTCAAGCTGGTGTTGATCGGAGACTCTGGAGTAGGCAAATCGCAGATACTGTCTCGGTACGCGAGAAACGAGTTCAGCTTAGATTCCAAAGCTACCATCGGCGTCGAATTTCAAACTCGAACACTTGTTATCGACCATAAGAGTGTCAAAGCTCAGATCTGGGACACCGCCGGCCAAGAACGGTAATCTCAATCTTCCTGAAATTGCTTTTCGCTTTCCTTTTACAACAGTTGGATCCGCCGCTTTTTCGAACTTAGATCTCATAGATTCGAAGTTACCAAATTCTAATTATTCATGTCGCTTTGTGTGCGAAGTTGATGAAAAACGGTGTCGTATAGGTATAGAGCGGTGACGAGTGCGTATTACAGAGGAGCGGTTGGGGCGATGCTGGTTTACGACGTGACTAGACGTCAAACATTTGATCATATCCCACGGTGGCTTGAAGAATTGCGAAATAACGCAGACAAGAACATTGTGATTATACTCGTTGGGAATAAGTCTGATCTTGAAGATCAACGAGCGATATCGATGGAAGATGCTAAGGACTTCGCGGAGAAAGAAGGTCTTTTCTTCTTGGAGACATCAGCTCTAAACGCAGTCAACGTGGAGAGTGCTTTCTCCACTGTTTTGACTGAGATTTTCAACATTGTCAACAAGAAAAGTCTTGTTGCTGGTGAAGGAGAAGGTAATGGTGATCCTGGATCGCTTGCTGGTAAGAAGATTGATATTGTTCCAGGTCCAGGTCAGGTGATTCCAACGAAGAATAAATTGTGTTGTAACACTTAGAAGTAAAGTAACCAATTCAATTCTTCAATCTTCTTTTTTCTTGTATCCGCATTTCTCACGTTATAACCTAATCAAAGCCCTTTTTGTGTTGGGTTTTTATATTAGAAGAGCTTAAACTACACTGAGATGAGAGATCAGTTTAAAGATTGAATACCTCGAGTAAGTTTTTAACAACAAACGGGGTAATAAATAAGATCGAAATATAGCAAACAAGTACTAAAGAGGTTCAAAAGTTTGATATAATAAAAGGCTTGAAAAGTTGACACAAAGCAGAAACCAAAAATAGCGTTCAAAATGGCGTTATCATCTCTGTGGAGCAACTTAAATACGACCAGAAACAAACTAGAGAGAAAGAAATCTCTTAATCTTGGGGCAGTTTAAGCAGAAACGGGTTTGGCAGGAGCAGAAGAGAGTCTAGACCTCTTCTTGGCCAAACTTTCACTACGGCGATCACGCTGCTCCTTAAGTCTAGAGGCAAGAAGCTTCTGGTACTCAGCTGCATCAGAGTTAGCCTTGGCGATTCTCTTCTTCTTGTCAGCAATTCTAGCTCTCTTCCTCTGGAGAGTCAATGGAGTCACAAGCCTCTGGATCTTAGGAGCCTTGCCAACCTTCTTGCCTGCACAAGGAAGAAACAGATTTTAGTAAATCTTCAATCATATTACCACTTTTCAATTACCTCTTTAAGAGAATCTGATTTTTATTACCCTTCTTGTTTGTGAAGGTACGGCGGTAAGTGTTGACATACTTCCTGACATCATCCTCCTTTCCAAGGTTAAACAACTTGCGGATCTTTGATGCCCTCTTGGGACCTCTCATTCTTGGCTTCTCAGTGTCGGTAAGCCCGGGAAGATCGCTTTCACCCTTCTTCACAATGACCAAGTTAAGGACAGAGAGGTCAGGGCTCACAATGCAACCACGAACAGACTTTCTTCTCCTCTCTCCAGTCCTCCTTCCGTGTCCTCTGAAACAAGGAGTACCTAATCACACAAACCAGATTACATAAATCAATAACAAAGACGATTAATGGAAAAGAGAAACTAATGAAGCTGTATAAGTTGATCAATGAGGTGGAATCAAGTACCTCTGTGAAGTAAAAGGCGGACACGCCCAGGAGTCAGAACACCCTGTTTCATTGGGAAACCTTGCTTGTCACAACCTCCCATGATCTTGAATACGTAACCCTTGAATTCCTGCAAGTAGTTCAAACACACACAATATCATTCACAATACTGAAAACACTAGTGATAACCAAAACACACTGAACATGTAGAAGAAAATGCACCTCGCCCAAAGCATCTCCGCTAACTTCCTGAGAGAGCCTCTTGTCGAAAAAGGCACGGCTGCAAATAAACAAACAAACGAAAATGAAACTCAATAACTTTACCCAAATCCACTAAAATTCAGCTATGTTGTTGATTTTCTAGATTCAGAACTGATTAGAGAATATCAGAGATTCCAGTAACCTAGTTTTGCATCAGATTTTAGCAGTGAATTAGTAACTATCCTACGATTCTAAGGTTTGGATCCAAAGAATTTTACTAACTCCATAGCAGATATTTCACACTGTACACTCAATAAGCCAAATGTAAACAATAGATGAGCAAATCCTAAACCTACAACGAATCACAAATCTAAAACAAAATGAAGACAATGCGATTAAAAGAAAAGATCTTACAGTTTTTGGTCGTCATCGATCTCGAGCTTCTTTTGGCACCCGGTGGTCGGGTTGGCGATGTTGAACTGGGACACAAACAAAATCGAATGAATCAAACGAAATAACACAGTGATAAACCACCAGATAATCGATGAGAAGAGAAATATGGAGCTACCTTCATCGTCTCCGATAGACACTGCTGCTACAACAGCCTGCGACAGAAGATTGAAGATATAAAATGATCTCGGCGCGGCTTAGCTCTAGGGTTTTTGCGAGAAAGATGAAAGGAGCAACTTATAAGGAGAACCAATAAACAGGTAGGGTTAATTGAAGTGGGCCTATATTTTATGGGCTCTTATTTAAATCTAAGAGAGAA